CTTCCCCGGACGCACATAGGCTGAGCCGATGCATAGTGGATATCCACCTACGACTACATGCGCTGCTATCAGTTCGAGATGTTCTGTGCACAGGTCACTTGTGTCAATCCTATGTTGGGGAAGCTTTTTTCGCATAAATAACGCCGCAGATCCGTGGGGAAATCCTTTAATTGTGGGATTTTTGTAGCATGTGTATCCGGAAATACTACCATTATTTGGTAGTCCTGCTTCACTAAATGCTAAGATTGGTATTTGGTAAGTTTGTAAATATAAGGACAGCGCCGCCAATCTTACTGGGAGGCTCGCACAGTTCCATTGCATTATTAATGGCACATTTCTTTGTTTAGGGGGCACTGTTGATTGATGTTTTGGATCCTGAGCCATAACTACATCCATTTTCGGATCATATCAGTAATTGTCACTTCGAAAACCATAATTCCTTGTAGTACCATTTTTAGATGGCCTGGAGGTAGTTGGGCAATGAAGCCTCGTATGGCAGAGAAAAGCAAACTTACTATGTCGTTGACATTTGATGTCCCAGACAGATCAGTTTCTCTCTTTGGGTGTGGTGGGACATTTTCTGTCGCTCTACTGTAGAGGCGTCTACCCGTCGACGAAGCCCGGTGAGCTTGGGACACGTTGGGGTCTTGCGATTCTCTGGGTGGTAAGGGAAGAAACTCCTCCTCGAGTAGCGCCTGTTTCTCTGTTAGATTCTTACTGGCGCTGTTCGTTTTCCTATATTTTCGTCGCCCCTCCTGTGGTTTCATGCCAGATGTTGTTTGGCTGTCTGTAGGTTTTGACATCGCAACTGGTGCGACAGGTGATTTCTGCGATGCGGCCGTATCGTTGACCTCCACGGTCTCCACTGGCTTCAAAGCCTGTCGTGGTCTATTGACAAAAGCCTTGCTTCTTGCGAGTGCTCCGAAGCGCACTTTGCAGTTGACGTAGCTTGCGGGATGGTCCCCACCGCAGTTTGCACACTTCACGGGGTCTTCTCCCTTGCTGTCTTTGGTTGCGTGTGGTCCTGCGCACTTTTTGCACTTGACAGCGTTCTTGCAGTATTTGGCTATGTGTCCGAGTGCCTGGCAGTTGAAACATCGGGAGGGGGCTTCAACATAATCGCAGACCTCATGTATGGTGAACCCAAGGCTCACTCTTACTGGGCGCTCTGTGTTTGGCCGGAAAGTTAGAACGACTCGGTCAGTCGGTTTAGCCACTTCGCCAACCTTTGCGCGACGTCGGTAGAGTCGGCGGGCTGCGATCACACCAGCCGGTTCCAGGAATTCCGTTAGCTCGCTGTCCGAGTACCAATCAGGTACCCCTGTCACGAGGCCGTTGTTCCGCATGTAGGTCTTCGGTATGGTTGCTTGGACCGCAACTCCACAGAGAGAACGAACCTTCAGCAGCTTGTTCACGGTAGCAGTGTCTGCAACATCTACAAGGAGACCTCCCCGAGCAGTGAAATGATGTCTCACAAGAGGGGCGTCTGCCGCTGCCGCTATTTCTTCGCTTAGTTTGAGCGGATTCTGTTTTTGGAGTCGTTGGTCATCTTTGACTGGGGTCAGTAAAACTGGCACCCCAGTTGTTCGCTGACGTCGGTGTGTAACGAGTATGAGTCCCTCCGGGTCACTTTTCTCCTCGTCGACGTGCATGGCAGAGTCTGATGTTACTTCAGACGCTCCTATATCCTCATCTTGGTCGTCATCGTCAGGTTCGTCGTCATTTTCTCCTTTGCGTCGCTTGACACCCTTAAGCGCTTGACCTGATGTTCTCTCTTGGCCTGGCTGGCCGGCTTGATCTTTCGCTAATGCCGTCACCGAAGGGCCTGATTTTGGTCTTCCATCTGATGAAGGCTCTCCATCGGAGTTTGCCATGATGGAAAATCCGGGAGCACCTTGGTAGGACCCAGATTTAAAGGGTCCACGTAGCTGGCGGCCTTCAGTAGTATGATTTGTTGGTCCGGGTATAAAAGAGGCTTACTTCTTTCGTAGCGAAGGAACAGATCAGGCTCTAATCCAGAGGCGTCGGCAATCTTTCAAAAATAATGTGGAACGCAGAAAAAGGATCGACCACCTACAAGGTACTTCTTCTTCTTTTCATAGTCGGGCGAGTTGGTGGGAATTCATCGTAGGAAACAGCGCGAAGAACAGACGAGGACGAAGAAGAAACGCACATGACGAGCGCAGCGCACGTCACGTGTCTCTCTTCTTCATCCGCGCTGTGTCTTATTTGTTGCGGTTTGGACTGACGATGGGTCGGCCGCGTGCTCTTTCTTCGGGGAAAGAAGACAGGGTGCGGAAGGAGCGGCGACGTACGCAACAGCGCGAATGGGTCCGTAACCGCCGCGTCCGTCGAGCGCTTCAAGTCCCCTTGCGAAAGAAGAGCAGACCGCTCGCCTGGAAAGCCACTGTCGAGAACAGAAGGTACAATTAATGAAAAAATGAAAGCCGTTTACAACTCCCTGTAACGCCGAATTAGAGCGCAGCTCTTGAGGAGGAGGAGGGAAGGGTACTGGGGGGTGGGTCAAGTGACCTCGGGGGGCGGGGGGTCACGTGACCTTGGGGGTCACGTGACCTTGTGGGTCACGTGACCTTGTGGGAGTCACGTGACCTTGGGGCGTCACGTGACGTCGGGGGGTCACGTGACCTGGGGCCACGTGACGATACCGATGACGTCATCAATAGCGTCACTGATGACGCCATCAGTGATGATGATGACGATGCGGATGCCGGTGACGTCATCAGTGACGTCACTAATGACGTCATCAGGGATGATGACGATGCGGATGCCGGTGACGTCATCAGTGACGTCACTGACGACGTCATCAGTGCCTATGACGTCAACGGGGGGTCACGTGACCTCGGGGGGTATCCCCAGGTCACGTGACCCCAGGGGGGGTCACGACCTGGGTAACCATCGTGACCCTCGTGAGGGTAACCCTAGTAACCCTTGTGAGGGCAACTCTCGTGACCCTCGTGAGGGTAACTCTCGTGACCCTCGTAAGGGTAACTCTCATAACCCTCGTGACCCTCGTGAGGGTAACTAACCCTCGTAACCCTCGTGAGGGTTACGAGGGTGAGTAACCCTCGTGAGGGTAACTCTCATAACCCTCGTGACCCTCGTGAGGGTAACCCTCGTGAAGGCTACCCTCACGAGGGTTACTAACCCTCGTAACCCTCAAAAGGGTTACCTTCACGAGGGTTACCCTCACGAGGGTTACTAACCCTCGTAACCCTCGTGAGGGTTACAAGGGTAAGTAACCCTCGTGAGGGTTACGAGGGTAAGTAATCCTCGTGGCCCTCGTGATCCTCGTGAGGGTAACCCTCATGACATTAACCCTCGTAACCCTCGTAACCCTCACGAGGGTTACGAGGGTTGCGGTTACGCCGACGCCGACGCCGACGGCGACGCCGCTCAAGCCGGGAACGGGCCCCTAAGAGCTGCGCTCTAAACGGCGTCGGCGTCGGCGACGCCGCTCAAGCCGGGAACGGGCCCCTAAGAGCTGCGCTCTAAAAACAGAAGGAAGGTACAGCTCCGCTGGCCTTCCTTCTTCCCCAAAGTGGAAAGGCTGATTTTTTTTAAATTTCTTTTTCTTTTTTTTTTTTTGGGGGGGGGGGGAGGGGGTGAGGGGGGGGGGGGGGGCATAGATATGGCTGGAGTCACACAGCTCTGGGAAACGGTCACTTTTTTTTCTTTTTTGTTTTGAAACCATTAAGCATGGGACCTCGAGGAAGTCACTTAACTATGCTTCGTTTTTTGGGTACGTTTTTTTATACACCGGAGATTGCGTTTGTGTACGAAGAATGACCTTATCCAGACTCTTATAAGTAATGTATTTAAGCATCGCTTTTTTTTTCATGGGATGGATTGGGTGTGTTAGCGTCACTCACTCAGCTCTAAACAAAAACAATCAATTTTTTTTTCTTCTTTCGGAACAACTGAGCGCGAGATTTCAAGGATTTTTTAGTCTAGAAGTTTCTTGCGCGACACAACGGACAATCACAAGGGAGTAGACACGGACAAGGATTATGTTACCGTAATAAAAAACGTTGAAGGAAAAGTAACTTGGGAAATAATCGATTACTTTAGAGTAATTTTTCGATTACTTTCTTGAATCTCTAATTGTGATTGTAATCGATTACTTCTTACAGTGAAGTAATTGTAATTGTAATCGGTTACTCTCTTGTTTGGTAACGTGTACAAGTATGCTTGTGTGACATTCACGTCGGTCATACGAAACCAGTATAAGCATACATCTTCGGAGCCCACGCATGTACAAGGTCCCCAAAAGCAATATACAGGGTTTCTTTACGTTAAAAATAAACTAGGCGTCGCCGAACGCTCATTTTCCACCCAAAGATAGCGCTAGAAGTCCGAACCGGATTACAAAGTTTTAGCACAAACCGATACTTTATTCAAAAGTTAAGAATGATTTTCTGAAAATTTCAACGGAAAAAATGAGGACCATTTTCGCCCGTTGTCGGTTTCTGGTGCCCTAAAGCTCCATGTATTCGAGAGCTCAGGAGGCAATGTGTATTTTAGATTTATGGTAAAAAACAAAACAAAAACGCTGCACATTTTTTGGGGGACATCCCGTATAAAGAGCTTCGGAGCTGCTGCAGGCGTGTCCTCATATACTTTTGTCAATAATATGTGCAGCGATACTGAGTCTTTTGTGTTGTGCATCAGAAGTACGACTGCGGCTCTGGGCCTTGCTTTCGTGGTAGTTACGCTGAACGTGCGACGATAATTAAGGCCCATTCACAGAGCAGCGTCTTTTTTTTTATTTTACTGTTATGGGAGGTTACGTCTTCTCGCGTTGAGAATCGTGGGGACATACGTGTTTCCTACAAACCAGGGCAGCCTATTCAATGAGTAGTTTTGAACGTGGCAAGCAAAACACGGTTATTAACATTACGTAAAAGAATAATGTTTACGTGTGAGCATATGCGCTCTTTGAGATTCGTTGTCAGCCCTGTTGAAGGAAGGTATGCTTCCAGGTGCTGGTGCACAACCCTCGCGGCCCGAGCGGGCCCACAGGGGAGTCGAGCGGTGTGTCACTTCTGAGCCTGAGCCAGGCGGTGCACTGTCTCGTCGCCGGAAGCCTGAGGCCTGGCGCCAAGGAGGATGTGCTGCTCGTGGGCACGGCCACGGCACTGCTCGCCTACGACGTCGAGAACAACGCCGACCTCTTCTTCCGCGAGGTGGGTGTTAAAAACCTATACGACTAGACCTTTTTCTAACGTTGTTCGGGCAATATTGATGGTCATCATATCCTGGGCAGGAAGCTTCTGACTGGATCAAAGTTTTCGTCGAACCCTTTTTGATACGAGCAAAGACGAGTTCACACCGAACATTGGCTGCGTTTACATGGATGCGACTGTAGCGCATCGAATCGAGTTAGCGCATTGAATCCACTTTAACCACTGCGCTTACATGAGTTCGAATCGACCGGTGCGACAGCGCACCCCACGTGACCTGTCCGGGAAAGGGGGATTGGATTAGTGGATTCCATCGGCGACGACGCTGTCTGGACGGTATCACAAGGCGGAGGGGGGAGTATTAAGGTCATCTTAGCCTTTCGTTCCTCCCTCCCTGTACACTGTTAGGAAGTCCCGTGTATTTGGTGAATATTTGGGATGAAAAACACGCTATTTACACAAATTACCATAAATTTACACGTTGAGTAACGGATAATTCGTTCAAAAATCATGCGAGGTCGTAAAAAACGTGTTTTCGTTCGGTCATACACGCATAACCGTGTAGCCGACCTCGAAAACACGCACCACCGCCGGCGACGACCGCAGCATTGCCGGATACCGAAGCACCGGAGCGCTTGGGGACACACCTAGAAAGGACCGTGGAGTCAAATTCCGCGGAAAGGAACATGTCTCGGAGACAGATAAGCACCAAAAGCAATTACGCCATGTCGCGAGACGGGGCGAACCCCGCGCTTACCGTGCGTGCTGGCTGCCATTGTTTGTGGTCGACAATGGCAATGCGGCTTCCCTTATGTCGCCCTGTTTGTATTTATATTAGGGGTCTTGATAATTGTTTCTCACACACCAAAAATAAAGTTAGGCGTATAATTACTCGTTCTAAACAGTTACAATGGCTATAAAAAGCGTGCCCTTGATCTGAACACGCGACATTGCAGTTGGTTTCGTTTTGGCTTCAACCCTTCCAACTGCAAGCGAAGGTGCCGCCGCTTCCCATGCATCCTCCTCAGAATTTACGGCGCTCCGTGGTGTCCAGTGTTGCTGCATCTGTAGGTCATCTTTAAGTTAGAGCTGACAGAGAAAATTTGGCCACGGCGTAACGCAGATGTAAGCTGGAAGCTAGAACCGGTTTGCTTTCGTTGTTTTTTATTTGGTCGGAGAAAATCTGGCAACAACGCACGTTTAACATGGCGCCGGTATTCTTTTGGTTGGACAAGAAGGTTGGAAGGTGCTCGGTTTGCGAGCACATGTAGCGAAGACGTGACCGGAGACGTGCCCCTGTGATGTTCCCGGACGACGGAAAGCATCATTCGCAATCGTCGTGTGTGCTTGGAAAGCGAAGGGTGTCACAGGGTCCACGACGAGTGCGCAACCACAAGCCAAGGGTCACGACAGCGCTGCGTTTACTTCGGCGATCTCGTTCTGTTTGGTGCAACGCGGCGATGCGACAAAGAGCTGAAGTGTCCGTGGTGTGTGGTGCGGTGCTTGGAGGTAGAAAGCCACACCGGCCACACTAACACGGAGCGCGAATTGGTTGCTGTGGGTTTAGTCCGTCGTAATCAGCTGATCCGGTCCAGCTGGTCCGGGAGGACGCAGCGAGCGTTTTTAAAAGTAAATCTTCCCTCGTTCTGTTTCAAAATGTGGAAGTATACCGACGCATACCGTGAGTAAAAAGCTGTGGGCGTTTTCAACAAAATTACGTCGTTTAAATTGAACAATGGACTCCGGATTGTTGTCCTAGATCTGCCGTTTTTATGCTTCGTGTTGGACTGCGTTCGCACAGCGACGCACACAGCTCGAGTAGATGACTCGGTCCTGCAAACGGCCGGTAACAGAATTTCAGGGAAACTTAAGTCACCACTGATATTTTCCTTTAAATCTCGTGCGAGTTTGTTGCGCTCATCATGCGGTGTGAATAAATTGGGGCAAGATTTCCTACCTGCCCACAGATGCATGACCTGAGACCAATTTTTGCGTGGTGAACATAGTGCTTTTTCTTTGTTTTGGAAAGGCGCTGGTGCATTTACTATGGTACAATCACTTGAGAGTTGAGAAATAGGAGAGAGCGAGCAAGCTTTCCCAACTTTGTCTGTTTTCTATGGCACTGCCCTGTTTCAGTTTCAGTAGGCATATCTAAAAGCGGGTACAAACTGCTCTAAAGCAGGTAAAAAACAGAAGAAGCTTAGGACGGTGCGGACTCCGTGTTTCGCGCTTTTCGTAAGGTGACTGGGTAAATGCTTTTGCGAGGTATGCGGAGTATGCAAGCGATTTTGTTATGCCTGTCGTTTGCGTCTCTCCAGTAAAACGAATAAGATGATCTACAAAGGCGCAATCACAAGCCAAGATTTACGATAGCAGTGCATTTGCTTCGGTGGTCCGTGTAGTTGTATTTTACTCTGCTCTCTGCAACACCGTGCCATGACGAAGAGCTGGAACGGTCACGGTTTGAGCTGGCCTCCCCGTTGACAGAAACCCGCATCGCCCGCGTCGGCACCGAGTGCGCTTGGGCTGTTGATGCTCACAAGCCACGAATGCTTTTATCCCTGGCTTGTCGCCAGCTGATCCTGCTGCTAAACGGTGAGGAAGCGGCGAGAGTGACCTCTGAAGGGAATGTAGATCCTCGTTCATTCAGTTATCCGGTGTCAGAGTGTGGAAGATGTCCAACGTGTACTGAGGGCGGGAACTACGAGCATTTTGCCTTGCTTTTATAACCGGAACCAGAGCAACGAGATAACTGCCTTGCGTACTTAAAAATGACGGAAGCAAAACGTTTCAACAGGTCGAATACGTCACCGGGGATGTAGGCGAGACGGTGTACACTGTTTAAACGCTTGCAGTATCCACGAGTGGTACCAGAAAAGCGACGTCAGCAGAGAAGGAGCTCGCCATTCAGCATAATGCAGTGCTACGGGCCCGTGTATATTCAAAGTTCGAAATGGTAACAGCGTGGCAGTATAAAAAAAAAAAAAAAAAAAAAAAGACGCATTAGCGCCCCACATTAGTGATCACGAATAACACCGGCCACGAACTCCCGAGCCCCACCGCTCCACTCAACACCGACACGACAGACGACAACAAAGTGCATCAACACGACCCAAAAGTGAAGGCGTCTGCTCCTGTACTGCAACTAGCGGAAGTGAAGTGTTGAGCACATGTCCTTCACAAGAATATATAAAAAAATGCTTTGCGCAAGCATCATTTCCGTTTATTATTAATTATATAATGATAAAATCTTAATAATTAAAAAAAAATCTGATTCAAGCTAGTCGGACTGCTCATAACACTGGTCTAGCATTAAAATAACAAAAATTTGAATTTCTTCATGACCGGTTTAGGATTTATTGTCAATACATCGTTATCTTTCGCAACGGACTAACATTATAGATTTTGCCTCCATACTTTTTAAATGCAAAGAGTTCTTACATACGGCTGTCCATTGCGCCGTGTTTTGTGTCTTCTTCTATAAATCTGTAACGGTCAGCGACTAAATAGCTCACCCGCACATGCCAAGCTTATATACGCCGCGGAGAGAAAAGCATGTTAAGTAGGAAGTGTCGGGCGCAGTGTCGGGTGTTGTGTTTGTGTATATGTCGGTGATGTGTAATGCGTGGTATTGGTGTTGTGTGTGATGTATGTGGGGGTTGTGTCTACTTGTGATCGATCGTAGGCTCGTAGCATATTAACAAACTTTTTTCATAGACTGCTAGAAATCCCGCTAGGTGGCGGAAGTTACTGCCCGATTTGAAATAGTTTGCTCGAGTTATTTGTCCATTTAAGTTCGCTTTTCTGTCTAGCGGCTCGATCGTAGTATACCGACGCCGCCGACCGCCGACGACGCACGTACGTATTTTTGCGCGTAGCTACGTCCGCCGCTTGGAGACTGTTTAGTGTGTATAAAAGACATCGAAGGAGAACAAACGCCGTCCTGTGTGCTTTCAATTCAGCCGAAAGGCGCGCGGCTTGCTGGGCTCGTCCCTCGCCTGTGCTCGGCTGCTGGCCGCCATGTTTTATGAGCACGCTCAGCCAACACGCTGAACCGTGCTCAGCGGAAGAAAAACACGGTGTATCGTGTTAAGTTTACACAGCACCTCATGTGTAGATGAAAAACACAGATGGCTGCGTGTAAAACGAACACGTTTCGACGTGTCCGCTATGGGACAACGGTTTACATGTCTGGGCGTGTTATTTTTGCTAACAGTGTACCATCCTTCAGACACTCGAATCGATATGCTAGAATTTACATGGAGGTCCCGGCTTGGCTCGAGAATCTGAAACAAACCCCTTTGAACAGATCGGATCAGACTCGATTCGATGCGTTTCGCAAGATAATCAAAGCGGTTTCATGGGACGATTCGATATGCTAACTGGATTCGATCTGCAACTTTCGTATCCGCTACGTTCGAATGGATGCGACTGCAGCGCATTAGATCCAGTTAACGAGTCGAATCGGTCCATGTGAACTGTTCGGATCGGATCGGATCCGATCCGATCCGATCCGATCCGCTGAAACGGGGTGGTTTGAGATGGACAATCCGAATCGAGACTCTCCATGTGTACGCTAGCGGATCGAATTGAGAGCTCGAGCGAGGGATCACGGGAGCGTTGCGTTGCATGCCTCTAGGCAAACCGGAAATTCCGGAAACAATCGAAAGGTCGCGAGGTTTGCGTTGTGATCCTCCGAATCCATGTAAACGCAGTGGTTGAAGTGGATCCGATTCGCTAACTGGATCCGATGCGCTGTGGTCGCATCCACGTAAACGTAGCCCATGTAAGCGTAGCCACTGACGCAGCCTATCGTGTCCATTATTGGTTCAGAGGACATGCCAAACAATGGCAAATTTGCATAATTAGCGCAGCTGCTTCAAGATAGCGCGTACCTGTGAAATGAAAATCCAGGGATCCTTGGTTCAATCCCCGCCTCGGCCCGCTCCGATCTCCGTGGATGAGCATCGTACCGGCATGCGGTTGCGCATTACTACTGCCTCATGTACGTTAAATGGGTACTACAATGAGATTCTAGACCTACACCTAAATGCCAACTACTTTCTCAGCACACCGCATGCAGGTGCCTATTTTTCGTTCAAAAAAAGAAAACACACAAAAAGCAAAAAAAGAAAAAACGATTGCTCGATTGCATTTGGTAGGTTCCCGAATGTCGTTACGCCCATCTTCTCATAAAAACAGCGCCGCTCTCCGAATTTCGCGCTGAGCTCCGAGCAAGCGTAGTCTGTCAAACTTGGCTGGCTGGTTGGATGTGAATGACTACAGCCTGTGCAACTGGAAGTAGCTTGCGCCACCTAGCCTAAACTGAAGCAGATTTCCCTTCTTTCCCGCGCTTATTAAACTTCTGCAGGGAGAGGGGAGCGAGCATCTCGAACAGCCAGGGTGTAAAGCGTTGACGCCACCAAGTGGCGAGGCTCACAACCACGCCACTTTTCCTGCAGCACTGGCCGAGAAGTTGAAACTTGACGTCGCGAGCGCGTTGGAGACGTCGGATCACCCGAGACGCATTAAGCTCTTGGATGGCTGGTCTTCTAACGCTCTCTAATTGACCATTTGTAACGAAAAATAGAGCCATCCGCTCAAAATACAGGCATGCAATTGGCTTTGGCAGATTTTGTTGATCATGCACAATTTATTTCTGAACGTGAGAACTACATCTAAATTTTCATTTTCGTATCTTTTTTACAAAGCCCAGGCAAGCAGTCGTAATGACCTGGCTAAATGTTATATAGAGTGGGTAACAATGCCGCATACGCTGGCAGACTGAACGCCTGTTCTCAATAAACTAACGACTAATTTGTTTCTCTTTTGTTTCGGATTCTTATTAAAGTCTAAGGTTGATTTCGTAGTGAAACGTGCCGCAACGTCCTCTATGAACCTTGTGAGGGGCTACGGTCGAAGGGAGTAGGTCGGCTGCCAGATACCCGCGCCTCAAGCTCTGCCAGCCGCGCAACGCAAGCGTAAAAAAAAAAATAATAATAAAAAAAAAGACAACATAAGGGGAGAGGCACAGAATGCTCCGAGACACATTTAGAAGCCTTGCGGAAGAAAAAAAAGTGTAAAAAAAAAGGAAGTGGTTGTCTAAGTTAGATAAGGCGGTACGTGCCTAGAAGGCTGAGACTTCAGTAAGCTCCTTCTGCGTTGCTCATAAAACGTAATAATTGATATGACGTTTCTAGCCATGAAACGAAATACGACTGCAGACGTTTTTGAGGGAAAACACCCTACTTCGAAAAGTTTGTTCGTCCGTGCATTTCCCACTAAATTTAGAGGAGCAAATGACGTCCTGTGACCTATATATCAATTTAGGCCCTGCGCTGAATTCAACGATGAAATTGACGTAACTTGGCTTATATATCTATTAATCTTCACGATAACTATACAGGGTGATTCAAAGAGACGCTAGGCTCTTTTAATCGATCGTAAAATTCGGTTTCTCAACCTATCGCGCTATGACTTTGTGCAGCGTTGCCCACAGATGGTGCATTTTTGTTTTGTAAACTTTGCAAAGAGCGAATTTACCCGAGGAAAAAGTAATGAAAGAAAAAGGCTTAGCTCCTATTAAAACGCAGCGACGCCACCGGTTTTCAAACAAGACGGCATCGTTTCGCACGGGAGACAAGAGATGGCGCAACGAACGCCGCCAACGAACGAGCATACGGCGCCGAGAGCCAGCGTCTTTAGCAGACGATCTTTTCGACCCAAAAGCGGCGCGCGTTCCCCAGGCGGCGACAGTCGCAGAAACAAAAACAGGCACGGTAACAACAAGGAACTGCAGTTCCTTGTCTGCTAAAGACGCCGGCTCTCGGCGTCGTGTGATCGTTCGTTGGCGGCAGTTGGCGTCGCGACCGCTCGCGCCATCTCTTGTCTCCCGTGCGAAACGGTGCCGTGTTGTTTGAAGACCGGTGGCGTCGCTGCGTTTCCAAAGAAGCTAAGCCTTTTTTCTTTCTTTACTTTTTCCTCAGGCAAAATCCCTCCTTGCCAATTTTGCAAAAAAAAAAAAAATGCACCATGCGTGGGCAACGCTGCACAATGTCGCAGCGCGATAGGTTAAGAAACCGAATTTTGCGGTCGATTTAAAAAGCCTGGCGTGTCCTTGAATCACCCAGTATAACGGGGGAATCGATAAAAATATTTGTTTTCCTTTTACTTCGCTCCTTGAAACAGCGTCTAATTATTATCTTCTAAATAAATTCAAAAGTTCGCTGTACTGTTTTAAAATTTAATTTGCTGCAAAGCTCGGGGAGTTTGTTTCTCATGCATTAGAGCAGACATGTGTATATATAAAAAATACAGCTTTCTTCATGTGACTCGAGAACCGGCACTTAAAAGAATTAGAACCTAGCAGTCTGGCCGTAAAGAAATCCAAAGGGCAACGTAGAAATACACTAAATTCTTCAGTTGATCTTTTTTTTTTTAATTTGGCTATTGTTCGTCAGTAACTGGCAGTTTTTTCATGCCAGAAGTAACATTTAGCACCCCCTGGGCGGCCTGGAAACACGTCCGCCGTTGACGTCTGCATATTTGTTCGTCTCATTTTTACAGAAAAATAACTACGCATAGAAATTTCACCGGGTAAATGCACGTTTGGTAAAAATTAGAGTTTGCTGTGTGCATGTGCCGATGTGTATGGCTCGTTTTACAGCATAAGATCCACTAGCCACTTTATATTAGGTATGAAATAACAAAACCAGATCAATCGGAATTTTCTTAATTTTATGCATCTCTCGTGTGTGCAGGTTCCGGACGGAGCCAACTGCATCACTACGGGCTACCTGGGAACGCTGCGGAACCCGGTCGTACTCGTGGGCGGCAACTGCTCCATCCAGGGTTACGACCACGAGGGAAAAGACGTCTTCTGGACCGTAAGCGCTACGTCTAGGATTGTTATGCGTCTGGGGGATTTGAACCCGGGGATGCTTTCACACACGTGCGAGGCAAGTCAATACCACCTGGAAAACAATACATGCGCATGACGTCATCATTAGTGGACCCTCGCTCCGTTCCCAAGCAGTAGACACTTTGAGGATTGACGAGCCTCAAAGTGTTTGCGTTGCCTGAGACTGCGTTGCCACCGCAAGATGGCAACGTAATCTCAGGATTGCAATATGTTCCACTCGCACCCAGCTCGCCTGCAGTCTCAATATTTTTCTTTGTTCCACTACTCATGACGTTTGGCCATGGTACCTGGTACCCGTCTCCGACTGGTGTGTTTGCAGCGTTCTAGAAAGTGTTCCCCCAATCTCTTTCTGATGACGTCATAATAGTGTCTCGCTGTCGCCGCCGCCAAGATCCTGACGGCGTAGCAGGAGCGGTGGGCGAAGTGGCAGACACCTGTCCTGTTACAGGTGTCTGCCATTCCTTAGCTTGACAGCCCATGAAACCTTCAGCAGCCACGAGTCGAGACGCCACGACGACAACAACACCCGCGTTCGCTCGTCCTTTTTGCCTGTCCAAGCCACCAGCCGCCAGAATCGCGGCCTCCAACAACGTGACAGGCCGGCTTTTGTGACTTCATCACTTGACACTTCGGAACCACTTTTTGATGTTTCGATGGTACAAAACGCCGAACGCACATTTCGAAGACGTGTTTCAGGCACCTTTCTATAATGGAACACCAATGGTCTTTCTGCGCGCTCTTCCCAGGAAAAGTTTGACTTCGGTAAAACAGCCAATATACGCGAGTGCATGCCGCGTGTTGACGTTGCAATGCAGCGAGGGTCTGCCCACGTTTGCGAAGTTTCCATAAGAAGAATACGGTTAACCTATTTTACATCCTCCGCTAGCTGCTACATAGAGGCATTTTGAATAATATGTGATCGCAAGTTCGTCTGCTTTTTCCGCAGGGGTCGCAGTGACGTTGGAACGCCGAGCTCTGATTGGTGCTGATTGGAAGGGTAATGGGCCGACCCCAATGCTAGCTGCCTTGAGGTCTCCCACTATCTTCCAATGAGAGCTCGGCGTTCTGACGTAACTGCAGCAGCTGCGCAAGAAGCAGACGAACTTGCGATCACATCTTGGTGCGTAGTCCACACCGTGTGCCCCTGTTGTCTACTCCGCACGTGAAAATGTCTCGTACACAGCACACCTCGACAGATGCCTGCTTCATTTTCTACAAAATGCTTTTATCATTAACCTGCTCCACCATTAAGAGCATTCATCACATCTCATCATATTAAGCGATCTATAGAATAACAAATTGTTGTAAATTGCGAAAACTTTGTTTTTCCACGAGTTTAGTCAGTGGAATATATTTCGTAAAATGCGGGTGCTACCGCACTATTCTCAGGAGCACCATATTCTTTGAATCGCCTGTGCTCGAGGCTCTTAGATGCGGCTACAAGTATGCGGTTGGGTCCCCCAGGCTTCACCTTTCGCTTTATTAGTGAAAGAAAAGCATAACAAGAACTACGAGGCCTTCATAGAAGGATTTATATTGTCTTGTGGAAACATGTTTTGTCGCTACATGTTTCGGGGACAATTTTTCATCGGCACATGTTTCGTCAGCACTGTGGCGTTTCCTGGAAACTTTTGTAGTGAAAACGTGCTCTTGTGACATTCCGTCGACATCGTACCTGTTTTTAATGCGTCAGCATTCGTTGCTCCGGTGTATGCAGCCGTCTTTCTTTTGGACGGTCGTGGTTTGATTTGGACTGAACTGGTTTCGTGAGGCCGCGGCGAGCTTTCCGCCGTGCTCTTTCGCTCCGTTCGTTCACTTGTTACGTCTGCTCTCCCTTTTACAATAGGGAAATATTCTTCTGGTGCGCTTAAAACAACGCGCTCCGGGAGTGGTAGAGGAGGGGATCGAGCGGCCGTGGCCTTAATCGAAAACGCAGAACTGAGGCGCAGCGAGGATCCCGTTTGCGCGATACGGCTGACGCCCGGAGGAAAGATTGGCTCTGCGAAGACGACAACAGTTTGTGGAGCATAGATGGTGATCGAGGGAAGCTGGGGTGGACTGCATCCGATATTACTGACACCCGGTAGGACAAAAGGCCTCTCTGAATATATATGATGACCATTGGGAGGTTGCAATCCTCATCTTTCGCTAATTCGGAACCCCTGCGCTAAATGCTAATGCATTTCATCGAGAATCATCGCAACAACAAAAAAGGTTTCGACATCCGTTTAAAGCAGAGTCCTCCGTTTTATTTATTCCGACTATTCCCCTTACGCAAGTATATACGGATTTCGCCAATCAGCTAACCTTGACACTCTTTCTCACCGCCGCAGGGTGTGTCGTCTTTCTCTTCTTCATCGGATCTTTTATTCCAACAGTGATCTCAGACAGACTTTGCTATCGCCTCCTTACCGCATTTTCCCTCGTCTCGGCCATTCTTGTAAACTCCGTCCAATTTCATCGTCAACCGTCACTCGCCAAATATCTGCTTTACATTGTGCATTAACTGCTGAAACTCAATGTCTGACGTAAATGTTTCCTTATCTGACACTAAAGAATTTTCTGCAGCTATTAGCTTTTTCTTTCTTACCTATAACTAGATTGCAGCGTGTTTTTGTTGATAAATAGTTGTGTTATTTGTTTGTTTTTTGAAGTGTTCAACCCCTTGTATAATGTCCCATGGGCCCCCAAAGAATAATAAACCATGATGATGATGATCATTATTTCTTTTTTACTAAGTGCGTACTCAAATTTGGTAGCTGGCTAAAGGTTAACACGTAATTTGTTTAGGCAATTGTGGAAGCCAGCGACAAAGGCCTTTTTAGCAGGCTGCGCGAGCTAACAGCGCGGACCTCGAACGGTGAGCTCAGTGTCGCGGGAAGTCACGGGGTTGAAAACGTCATAAGAAATGTGCGGCTACTCGGAGCCAAAGCTCCAAGCGATTCGGACGTTTTTTTTTTTTTTTTTTTTTTTTTTTTTGTTTTTCTTTTTATTTGCCCTACAAATGGTGGCCCTGAATCTGAAGGCCCTCCACATCGTTGTCTAGCTACCTCAACCAAGATGAACCAAGGTAACGCTCACTCGGGCGATGACGCGTCTCCTCATTCTTCTGACGCCAAATTCGCAACCATAAACTAGCCCCTTCCAACTTTTTGGCCGAAGAACCCACGGAGTTGGTTCACGCCAGTAAAGGCGCGATTCGATATTCGGCGTATCACCACCCAGGTGTCGCGATTCTACCATGTCGTCGCTTCCCTGTCATCAGCTGTGGCTGACTACATCGACGAAATGCTATCGCTGTCTCCACGAGACGACGCTTACAATCATTTAAATGCCGTTCTGCTCAAGTGAACAACGGCATTAGACCGGTCACGAATCCAACAGCTGCTGAGAGCCCAGGAACGAAGAGACCGCCACCCATTGCGACTCCTCCACGAAATGCCAACCATCGCGACCCCTCCGTCTCGGAAAACCGTATCCTGCGAGGGTTTCTTATTCAAGAACTACAACGAGGAATGCGAATGGTTTTGGCAGCATCCGATGAAATGCCACGAGGTCGTATTGACATGCTGGCAGGCTGCACCGCCGATTATTCGTCACCATCCACCGCCGCTGTGGTGCCTCATGAACCTCCGCCCTTGCAAAAAACGATTGTAAATATTTAAGCAGGTATTGAGCAGATTTTTTTCAGTATTTCCACTGTGAGGACGTCCGATGAGAGACCCTCTTGACAAACGAGGTGAGGCTCGCCTCAGGCCCGTTCATCTGCGCGACGCGCCTTGCAGTCAAGTGGCAGAGCCCTGTGTTAACCAGCAGAGTTACAAGGGAAACACCCCCGCCCATAGATACATTTTCTGGTCACTGCTTTTTAGTAGACACAGGGGCCGAAGTGAGCGTCTTGCCCGCGTCACGACTTGACCGTCAGCGAGCGCAACGCACTGCGTCCTATACAAACCGTCACCAACTCCTCCATTGCCACCTTTGGCTAGCGGTGGCTAACGATCGTATAGGACTATGGCAATTTTTTTGTTGGGTATTGAATGTCGCGGACCTTTGTCAGGACATACTTGGAGCAGACTTTCTGGCGAACTTTGGCCTCCCCTGCAACAATCGTGCGAGGCGCCTCACCAATGCTATCACATCTTTAACAATACAGGGTATTCTGTCGTCATTCAACACCTCACGGATGTGTCCCCTGGCGGCGCCTTTCAGGTCTGAAGCTCCCTTTACAGGGCACCCCGCCATAACCCGACCCTGCAACAGACCGCGGATGGCAATTCCATTGTTCGCTCATCATTGCCTTAGCATCACTTCCTGGAACACACCATGTGCTCAGGACCTCTTACCACCCATCAGCAAACGGCGTAATAGAAAGTTTGCACCGACAGCTAAAAACATTGATGAAAGCACGAGACGGCCGACTTCATTGGACCAATCACCTTCCGTTCGTCTTCCATGGCTTTAGATCAGCATTCAAAGTAGACCTTAAATGCACCTCAGCAGGAATGCTGTATGGATCGCCGCTCTGGCTTCCTGGAAAATATTTCCACGCATCAAATTGTACTCATACTGTTCAACAACCACCGTACTTGGACGACTTGCGACGGTTTACGTGAGACCTCCAACCCTAATATCCTCGGTTTCCCAGTTATCGCAACGTAATTGTAAGCCAAGGGCTCACAACTGGCTCCCATGCATTCGTCCGCAAATACTTCAAGAAGAAGGGCCTCGTTGAACCGTACGACGGCTCGTTTACAATACTCAACCGAACCGACAGAACTGTAACTCTGAATTTGACTATCGCGATAGACCGCACAAAACCCGCCTTCTCTGACTCGACGCCTGATAACACGCCCACAAATGAACTTCCGCACTCCTGAAAAACAAACGCATCAGTTGGCAGAAAACATCTCTTATAGACAACACGACCAGCCGCGTCGCCACCATGTATTACCGGTTTTGAACTTGACTTTTTAGTCTATATATGTAAATGCTCTTCTATTCTTTCTAGCCTAAATCTATCTTTCTTATCTATGATCCATGCTACCAGGTGGAGCCTTGTAAAAGCCAGCGACAAAGCCCTTTTCGCGGGCAGCGCGTGCCCGCGGTGTGGCGAGCTCAGTGGCGCGGGCAGTCGCGGGGTCAAAAATGTCTTAATAAGCGTGCGGTTAGTTCGAGCCAGAGCGCTAAGCGATTCGGTCTTTCTTTCATTTGCCCTACGGCGTGCTTTACCCCAACCTCGCCCCCCCCCCCCCCCCCCTCCCCCGCTACTCTTTCAGCGCCCCTGAATCAGGCGAGATGCCAAAAGAAAGGTCTGTTGGGAAAACAGCGTGCTCGTGTTCATCGAGACATTGCAAGTTGTGTCAAGCCACGAAGGCGGGAAACCTTTCAATGAAGCAAACTGTTGATGAAATCTAAGATGGTATAGGAAACAGTCGATCTATCGATTAAACGTCGTTCGACGAACTGATCACCAGCGCTCGCAAGACCGTCTTATATTTCGGACAGTTGAGGCCATTCAGAAAATATTAAAAATTCCGTTCTCCGACATTCCTAAAGATTTCGGTAGAGAGAATGGCTTTTACTCAATTCGCAGGTCACCGGGGACAACGTGCGAGCGCTGGCGCTTTACGACTACCTAAAAGACGGGCTCAATGAGGTCAGTCTGCTTGACGCTATTCTAGCATGTTTTCTTGTAATGCCGGTAAATGCTGAAAGTGCATTGTATTTTTGTAAAGTGCGCTGATTTTGTGTTTTTCAACAATGCTCGAAACGTTTCTGGTCGAAGGCATATATTAAGATCTATTAAATAATAAGTTATTGACTGAAAAGTAATTAGGAGCATAATTTATGCCAAATGACTATAGTTTTCTAAATAGATTATTTTTGGCAGAAATCAATAAATAGGACGTCAACCTTTTCTTCTGTGCGATGCGTAACATTTGCAGGAGCGATTTGACCCGTGTTTCGGGATCGCGCAGAGCAGGGTTAATAAGACGGAACTTAGCTATCGCGCAGAACACAGATATATTAAAGGAGAGTGGTTGTACACTGCAATATCAAAAATAAAAAAAATAACGCAATGAAAAAAGAAAAAAAAGCAAGATGTTTTCTTTATATGTCTCCAGATTGCACGAAAATCCCCCCTCTCGCTTCCATGCCTTCTGGCCGCCCTTGCAGCTCTTGGTCGGGTCTGAAGACTTTGACATCCGCATCTTCAAGGAGGACATCATCGTGTCAGAAATCACGGAAACGGAGGCGATCACAGCACTCTGTCCCATCACGGAGGACTGCTTCGCCTACGCCTTGAGTAACGGAACCATCGGAGTCTACAAGGGAACCGACAGGATCTGGAGGATCAAGGTAGCCCGATATCGGCCACATGACAGTGGCCGATGGCCCATGGTATCCCTGAAATTCCGCAATTTATCCGAAGGTCGAACGTTTAGTGAGCTTTCAACCCTTGAGCAGCGATCATACTGCTAATGCATCATATAAGATACAGTCTGCGGGCCCTGTCTGTTGCTTGTTTCTTTCCTGTATTCCGGTCCTGTTACATTGGTAAGGCAAACACTGTCTACAAGGTTGTTCAATCATAGTTGTGTACGAAGCAAAGATGAGCTTCGAAGAAATGCTTGAGGCGCGTCCGCAGACATTTCTGTCATCATATCTGCAGCGAATGCCGTGTCTTTTGTATGATGTGTGAGGAGTGGACTTCAGCGTTTGCTATATTTTTAGTGTGCACTGTGCACTAAATTCCGTAGCCAGTGAAGAAATAAAACGACTGGAAATCGTACAAAATCAGGAACAGAAAATAAGGAAACGCTTTCGATGTGGCCCGCCACTGTTGCAGTACGTGTCCGATTTACAGGCCACCATTAAGCCACGCAGCGTATCGCGTGCCCTACAACGTTCTTCGTCGTTGTGATGGACGTCTTTCTTGTGGCAATTCCGACGGCGGCGAGAGCATGTTGCCACTTTGGGCCGATGAGGGACGGCACGTGTAAGCTGGCTGCATGAGAAAGGGTTCGGAGTGGGTTGATTCCCCGAATGTGACAACCGAGCCACATTGCCTTTGCTGTCAAAAAGGCCGACACAGACGATACAGTGATGGGTGCAGTGTTGGCCGGTAGGTGAGTTTATCATTTCATAAATTATTGGCGCAACCTGAAACCAAAAAGGGGTTCGAGGATTTCCAGGATGAAACGCGCGCATTAGGAAGCAGGAAAAATACATCTTAGAACGAGCTTGGAAAAAAAAAATGATAAGCCACAATATACACAAAACGCAATCCCGATGTAATATGTGACTTCCAGTTTTATCCCTATATTGAATAATATATCAATTTACTGAATTACTGTAGTATTTAATTATTTAGGATAAATTTCAGCGGTACTTTTAATTCAGCGTTTTGCGTGTAACGTTTTTTTTAGTATATCATTGGCAATGACCGTTTGAGTGCCATTTGCTCAATCTTTACAAAGACAACATTGATTTCGCGCCTACACTCAGGATCTGAGTCGAATACATTGTCACAGAAAAATTTCACGAGTACACTTAAGAGTGCTTACCTGTAGGAAGTCGAAATCATTATAGCCCCGGGGGAGGAATGTTTTGAGTAATATATCTACGCGTAATAATATTTAGGACAACGTGTAGGACGACTTCGATGACAACTTCCTAGAGATCGACGCCAAGTAGGCGTCTAGGGTGACCTCTCGGACGACGTTGGGGACGACATCTAGGGCGACGTCGAGCACGACTTCTAGGACGACCTCTAGAACGACCTTAAGGAGGACCTCTATAACGATGTGGAGAACGACGCCTAGAGGACGACGTCGAGAATGACCCCTAGAGAACGATATATAGAACGACCTTTAGGATGCCGTCAAGAACAACGTCTAGAACCTCTTCTAGGACGATCTGTAGGACGACGTCAAGGATGACGTTTAGGAGGACTTTTAGGACGACCTTTAAGATGACCTTAAGGACGACGTCTAGGACGACGTCGAGAACGATGCCTAAGAGGATAACGTTTAGATCGACGCTATAGAGGAGGACACTTAAAGGGATACAGAACCGAAATTTGGATTTCGCAAAGTAAGCAGAAGTGTCGAACGGGACACTACGAGCTCCAAAACATCACTCGTACACTGATATCTCAAACGGATGGCCGTACTTTAGGAAAAGAAGGGCGCGATCAAGCGAGTTCTTTGACGTAACTGTCCTCCGGAAGAATTTGAGAATGTGGAGAAGCTACCTCGCTTCTCTCCTCCTCGCTTCGGTTCACCTGCTTGACGGGACGTAGCGAGGAGGAGAGAGAATGGGAATCGTGACGTGCCTTGTCTCGTCGGCCTCGTCGGTCGGGTTCAATCGCGCACTCCTTTTCCAAAAAAATACGGCGATCCGTTAGATATATCGCGGTATGAGTGATATTTTTTGGTTTTGCAGCTTCCCTCCTATCCGCCCGGCATTGTTTAGTGAGCTCGAAATTTCGGTTCAGTATCCTTAAGGAGGCTGTGGCGTAGTTGCGTGGGCTGCGGAAGACGCCGTAGATGTAGACGGGGTCGCCTCACAGTCCATCGCACAAAGCACACAACGAGCACAAAAAAAAAAAAAAAAAATCGCGGGGGGGGGGGGGGGGGCGTATGTTTATACAGCCTAAAACTTAGTCTGCCTCAACGGGCGACTTGAGATGAGCAATTTAGCCAGTGCAGTATAACCGCTAGCCTGGGGTCTTTAATGTGCTCCAGGGAGTAGTGTTACACGACCGCACGCCGGTAGGATGCTCATTCGTATTGAAACGGGCAGGAGTGTGGATTGAATCCAGGATCCCTGGGTTCTGCAGCGCGAACTTTCGCTCCCCGCGCTCCAAGCTCGTGTGTGCTAGATCACTCTGCCACCGACTGTTTAGGAATCAGGCCGTAGACATGACAGCTGGAACGAGGCTGGTCTCTTTTTTTAATGCCCGCGAGCCCACACCTCGGCCCGGGCCAACAGTGGTGCCAGCCTTAATACCGATACACCAACCCCCCCCCCCCCCCCCCCCCCACACACACACAGACACACACACACATGCACAACAAGCAGCGATGAAGTCCGAAGCACAACGTTTGCACACGGGGCTCCGGCGGTGTCATCACGTAGATGACGAATGATGACCATAAAATACGTTTGATAACGTATTTTATGGTCTTTTTTTCGGTCAGAGCGCCGGCGGACACCGCTTGTTTTTTACGTACTGTGATAAGAGAGGTCGTCGTAGAGGTCTAGGACGACTTCTAGGATGACAGCAAGAACAAGGGTCATCCCTGAGCATACGATTGAGCCGCGCATGCGGCTGAATAGCACTTTAATGGCCATTTACTTCGATTTGTCGCTCAATGGCACATGTAAGGCTTTCGACTTAAAAGAGGAATCCGGATTTATTCTTAATTGGCCTGAAGATCCCCCTCTGACAGAAATGGTGATGTTACTTTGGTCTGTCCGTTGATTACTTTCAATCGGGGAGTGTTCAGTTGGTTGTGCTTGTATCATAACTTGAGGGAGCAATAAGCAAACAGATTTTAATGTTTACACCATTGGGTAATCCATTTTCAATTTATGTAGATTTTCGAATTACAAAGCACTGACGAAAATCTAGGTCGTTTAACCATTTATTGCTTTTTCCAGTCAAAAAACCACGTGACCTGCTTGCACGGATACGATATCGATGGTGATGGAGTACCTGAACTTATCACCGGGTGGAGCAACGGAAAGGTGACTCAAAGTGTTTGCCTTTAATTGAGCATTGAATTAATTATTTATTTTCGGTAGACACTACATGTTCACCACAATGAACTCAGGGTATTACTGCTGTATGCGACTCGGATTCACATAATTTTCTGTGCCTATGTCGAATTCAAAATTTAACCCATTACTTGGCGTCTATACAAATGACAACAAAGCATTGGGTTGGGTTCGTGTAGCAAGCGACACTGCCACGTGCAAAGTTCGTGAACGCGCATAATGCTTACTGTGCCAGGAGAGCGTCGGAGCAGGGTGCCTTGCGGCGCCGCATTGGTGAGTCACTAGGCGAGAGCCGCCTCCGTTACTTATGCGAAATGTGCAAAAATGAAAAATTGATTGATTATAAGATATTAGTGAACGTCTCACTCTCCCATTGCTTTAATTAGTCTGGACAAGGAGCAGCGCACTCTTTTGGTGTTCCCAAACCAAGCATGCCCCGCACCACTCCCGCTACACGAGGTGGTGGGTTTTCGTGGCGTGCTAACAAACACCACAAATAAAAAAGTCTATCTTATTCTCTCAAAGAGCGCTCGAAGTGCGAAGCACGTGTTTAAAGTATGCCTGGAGTATCAAATCAGAACATGGATCGAAGCTGTTTTCAACTATAAATGGGGGTCGTTCGGGTAGTGGGTGTTTATTCCGCGACATTTACTATACAAAAAAACACTACCGTTTACGAGCATGACTATCGTTACTTGTCAACACTGTCTAATGTATACCTGTACTCGAAACACCTAAGCCTCCCGGCACTTGTTTCCGGCACCCATGGCAGTGCATTTAATTGTATTTGTCAAACAGATAGAGCGCGATCACACAGCAAAAACATAACACAAAAAGACAGTCTGCAGACGCTGCCTCAGGCGTGTTTCCTTCTAATATGACGTTTACATTGGTCATACAAAAACTGTCTGGAAACATGCTGGAAGCATAGATACGTATTAAGCAAATATGCTTGATTGATTGATTGATTGGGGTTTAATGGCGCAGCAGCGACCAAGGCTATAATGCGCCAACAACTAGGACTATTGCTGAATCAAGGTTGAAGAGAAGAAAGAGCTATAGTAGCTTGTAATCTAATAAAACAATGATCATGAAAGTACAAGCGCATAAGATGTGGCAATGAGTACGATGAACTATTAAAATTATAGCTGGTCCAGGAGTCTTATATCCTTAAGAAAGTTGAAAACACACTTGTGTGGAATCAACGGCTCATCACTGAGTAAAAGGGCGAGATGTAATGGTGTATGCTCTTGGTAAACCTTAGCAAAGTGTCTGTGGCGTTCTTGGTCATACAAAGGGCATACAAGTAAGATATGTAGGATGCTTAACGGAATGTAGCAGTGTTCACACTCCGGAGCATCCTCCCCACGCAAAAGATGCTCATGGGTAAGACGGGTATGACCAATTCGCAGTCGGCACAAAACCACCTCATAAAAACGCTCGCGGTGTCGTGCACTCTCCCATTCCTGAAGTAGTGGTTTTACTGCTCGCAACTTATTGTTTATTTCTCGGTCCCATTCCTCTTGCCACTTGCGTCTTATGGAAAATTTCAAAACATGCCTATAGTCTCTGTAAGGTATTTTCCACAGGTCGACTTCTCGATCCTTAGCAGTACTTGCTGCTCTGTCAGCATCCTCATTTCCGGCAATTCCGACATGTGAAGGAACCCAGCATAGTATTATTTTCTTTTTCCGTTTTGCGGCTGAAATTAGCCTGTTCTTTATTTCTATTACGAGTGGATTGCGATCGTTTCCCACTCTGGCAAGAGCTCGTAAAGCACTAAGTGAGTCGGTGTAAACAATTGACTTGTGAAGCTTTTGTTTAAGGATCTTATCTGTGGCGAGGAGTAAGCCATAGAGCTCTGCCGTAAAACTACAGGCACTGTCATTTATTCTCCGGACAAGCTGCATCCCAGGCCCGATCACTGCGCAACCCACAGAGGAATCAGTTTTACTACCATCAGTGTAAAAGCTTATAAAGTCGTGATACTGTACTTGGAGCTCAAGGAATTCTTGTCTTAGGACTTCGCGAGGAGTGTCTTTCTTGTTGAATTTCGTTAGCTCCAGTTCGCACTGAATGGGAACTAGGTCCCAAGGGGCTGCCGAACTCAAACACTGTACAACTGGAGGCAACACGTTCAGTCCTACAGACTCCGCAGAATTGCGAACCCTCATGGCAAGAGGTGGAACAACTGAAGGCTTGTTACTGAAGGTTCGCTCGTAGCGTATTTGTTCCATACAGTGTAAGGTTGGATGGTTAGGAACCGATCTAATTCGCATAAAATATGTGAAGCCCAGTTCAGATCTTCTTTTCTCTAGAGAGAGCTCGTTTGCTTCTGCGTATAGACTGAGAACAGGAGATGTGCGAAAAGCACCGGTAGCAAGCCGCAACCCCTGATGATGAACAGGGTCCAGCATTTTGAGAACCGATGTCCGGGCAGAACCATACACAATACAACCGTAATCAAGACGGGATCGAACGACCGACCGATAGATACGCAAGAGACAAAGACGGTCAGCACCCCATGACACATGCGACAGGACCTTAAGTATATTAAGCGATTTAAAGCATTTCATCTTCAGGCTCTTGACATGCGGAACAAAAGTCAATTTGGAATCAAATATAAGACCTAAAAAATTGTGTTCAGTTTTCACTGGGATAGGAACATCATACATAGTCAAAGAAGGTTCGTGCAAAACTCCGCGGCGACGTGAGAAACTCACACAGACGGTCTTCTCAGGAGAAAATTTAAAACCGTTGACATCAGCCCATTTGACCAAGTTGTTGATTGTGAGCTGCAGCCGACGTTCACATATGGATGGATTACAAGACGATACAGAAATCTGCAGATCATCGACGTACAGTGAGTACTGAACAGATGGAGCTATTGCGCGGACAATTGAGTTCATCTTCACAATAAAAAGAGTGACGCTAAGTACACCACCTTGAGGTACTCCATTTTGCTGCGAAAATTCTCTAGAAAAAGTTGTCCCAAGCTTCACGCGAAAAGTCCGGTTTTGAAGATAACTCTGAATGCCACTTAACATTCGGCCCTGTACACCTAAGCTGAACAGATCCTGCAGTATGCCATGGCGCCAGGTTGTATCAAATGCCTTTTCCAGGTCAAAAAAGACGGAGACACAATGCTGCTTATTTACAAATGCCTCTCGCACAACAGTCTCAAAACGAACTAGGTGGTCGACCGTGGATCGTCCTGAACGAAAGCCACATTGGTACCTGTCAAGAAGATTATTACTCTCCAAATAAAACATCAGCCTTCTGTTGATCATCCTTTCTAATTTCTTCGAAAGACAGCTAGTTAGTGCTATAGGCCTGAAGCTGGAGGCACAGGCAGGATCTTTTCCTGGCTTTAAAAGGGGGATAATGACGTCAGCCTTCCAGGACAATGGGAAAAGACCCTCGACCCAAACTCGGTTGAAAAGATACAAGATGAGCTCTAGAGTAGATGGATGAAGGTGCTGAAGCATTTGATAGTGGATACCGTCCGGTCCAGGGGCAGTCTGTCCGGACGAATCGAGAGCCATCTGCAGTTCGTGCAGCATGAAAAGAGAGTTATAAGGCTCTTGCAAACCACCGGTCGTAGGCACAATCTTTTTTTCTGCATGTAGCTTATGCCGCCTAAATGATTGCGTATAGTGTTCGGAACTAGAAACAAATTTGAAGTGCTCACCAAGAATGTCAGCCTGTTCGTCAAGGCTTGCAGGACATATTCCATTCCGGCACAAGAGTGGGACAGAGAAAGCGCCGTAGGAACCCTCAATTTTATGCACGCGGTCCCAAACTTCCTTTATAGATGCACTGCTATTGATTGAAGAGGCATATCCTCTAAAGCTTTGCCGCTTGGCTTCTCTTCGAATAAACCTTGCCTGGGCCCTTTTTCTTTTAAAACCAATCAGATTACTTGAAGTAGGGTAACGCCTAAAGATACCCCATGCACGATTCTGTTCCTTTTTTGCCTGGCGGCAGTCTTTATTCCACCACGCCTTCGGCCTTTTTGGGAGATGCGAGGACGTCATGGGAATGGCGATGATTGCGGCCTGTAATATGTGTCGAGTGATATGCAGAGTGACATCATCGATGGAAAGATCATCAAGTGATGAACAAGCTAAAACTGAAGAGCTGCTAAAAGTTGCCCAGTCAGCCCTCTCAAACTTCCAACGAGGGGTACGCGTTTGAAGACCAGCAGGAGGACTGTTAAACTCTAAAATAATTGGAAAATGGTCACTTCCATATGGGTTTGGGATGACCCTCCATGAAAACAGCGAGTATAGTGAAGGATGGCAGATAGAAAGGTCGATGGAAGTAAAAGTCCTGGTTGCTGAACTAAAGTGTGTGGCTTCTTTAGTGTTAAGTAAGCACAGTCCCGTGGAAAGAAGAAAACGTTCAACAAGTGCTCCTCTAGCATCCCGTTTACCACTCCCCCACAATGGGTTGTGTGCATTAAAATCGCCTAAAATTAAGTATGGAGCCGGGAGCTGACTAACAAGATCCTCTAGCTCTTCGTACTGCAGCTGGTATCCCGGTGATATATACACTGAACAAACGGTAATCACCCGGTCTAGCAGTATTCGGGCAGCCACAGCCTCGAGAGTGGTGTAGAGAGCCACTTCGGCAGATGGGGTTGTGCGCTGGGCAACTACAGCAACACCACCAGACGCCACACAAGAGTGCAACCTATCTTGTCTAAACACTTGATAATGGCGGAGTACATTTGACCTAGTTTCTTTAAGATGCGTCTCCTGCAGACAGAAGGCAGCAGGGCGGTGTTCGTCTAATAAAAAAGTGACATCATCATAATTACAAAAAAGCCCACGACAGTTCCACTGTAAAAACAGAGACATGGTGAAGATTAAAACTGGAAATTAAAATTAAAATTATAACTGGCCTTTAGGACACCGCAAGATAACTAAGTGGACACTTGCTTATGATTCATTTCTAAAGGGACTACGATCCCTTTGGGGGCGAAATTCTAGGAAGTTTATTTTTCTTTTTCTTTTCTACGACCTGAAAAGGTACTGATGACTCAGCACCTGAAGGGACCAGGTCGTCGTCAGAGGGTGGCATGCTCTCATCCATCATTTCATCTACTGACTGCTGGCTCGCGGTCGAGTATGCCTCGTCCAGCTGGCCAGGCTTTCGAGAGCTGGTCGAGGCGGGAGTGGGCAAAGCCCTGCCTCGGCCTGAAGAGCGAGCAGACGACGAGGGTGTCCGCTCCAGCTCCTTAGAGGAGGTGGTCTGCGACGGACCCTCTTTAAGGACTGAGGGTGGTGCGAGAGGCACCACCCCTGATGCCTTTGGAGGGGATACCTCCTTTGGTGCCATGGTGTCCATTGCCTCCTTTAAGAGAGGCGCGGCAGCACCATTCAGGCACCGTGAACCTTTTGGCTCCAACGACAAACGTGGTCGTGGAGCCGACCTTGGGGGGGCAGGGGGTGTCGGCGGGGCTGCCAGGTCTTTGGGACAGACCTGGGTTCCCACCGAGGTTTTCGGTGACACGCCCCCTGTGCGTGTTACCGTAGCAAAGGATCCTTTCTGTAGAAAAGAAAGTCGCTTCCTGGCCTCAGGAAACGAGATGTTTTCTTTTACTTTGAGGGTAATTACTTCCTTCTCTTCTTTCCATTTTTTACAAGAACGGGAGTAAGCGGCGTGTGGTTCGCCGCAGTTGACGCAGTGGGGTGGGTTTGCGCAGTTGTCTGACGGGTGATCGTTCTGACCGCACTTGGCGCACGTCGTCTTGCCCCTGCAGCTCTGGGCACTATGGCCGAACCTCTGGCAATGGAAACATCTCCTGGGGTTCGGCACATATGGCCGTACTCTACAGTTCAAGTACCCAGCCTTGATTGACTCGGGAACTTTGCTCAACTCGAAAGTCAAAATGACATGTTTTGTTTTGATCTCTTGCCCCTCTCGACGAAGGGAGATTCGCTTTGCAGCGACAACTCCTTGGTCACTGAGGCCATCTACGAGTTCATCTTCTGTACTTTCGAGGAGGTCATCTTCAGAAATCACACCTTTTACTGTGTTCAATGTACGGTGGGGAGTGACTGTCACTTTATAGTCAGAAACTGAATTTAGTGATAAGAGTGCTGTGCTCTGTTCACTGGTTTTAATCTCAACGAGCAGATCTCCGGATGTCATTTTCTTGGCAGAGAAGTTCTTTCCAACAATGGACTCAAGTGTTTTGGAAACAAGGAATGGTGACAGTTTCGCCAAAGGTTTCTCACTCTCAGAGTGCATCACAAGGAATCTTGGAAATTTTTCTGCAGATATAGTAGTATTAATCGCATGTACTTCGGTGCGGCCCCTTTTGGGGGGCCGATCAAGAAAGGTTTTTTGTTTAGTACCCATAGAGATGGGAGAGAATTTCGGTGCCCCGGGTGCACCACCCACCACGGAGCCCAACACAGGGGTAGGCAATGTGCCATAACAAATATGGCTTTGCTGACAACATTACACTACCAGTGCTGCCCAGGCACTATAACCTAGTGTGGATCCGGACAAGGGGTCTATCGCCACCCAAGGTTAGCCCTTGCCGCCAAAGAAGGTGAAAAGGAATAAAAGAAGAGCAGATAAAAGAGAAAGATAAGAGGGGATAGTAGAAGATGTGGCGACTGACTGAATCATCCTGGTCGGGCCAAGCCAGGACACCCGTCTATAGGAAGCAGGGGCCAAAGTGGTGTGTTGCCTCGCCCGGGGGGCCCCGAAGGGTCCAAACCTACCCCGGGCTCAGCTCAACCACCAGGATGCCCTTTTCCCTGGACACGGGCTCGCCACGCACAGCCAGACGTGGGTGGGTCTTAGCCACTTTTACTCAGGGTCTGTGGTGTCGCCAAAGTGGCTAGGGTCCGTGGTGACGCTACTCACCAAGCACCTAGCACCTAAGGTGCAGGCGCCCCCTGCGGAGCTCGGGGTCCGTGGAGCCACCACTCTCCAAACACCTGCTTTCACAGGTGCCCCCTGCGGGGAAGCAAATATGCCCCGAACTTACTTGGGGCGTGTCCGCAGATACGGTTCTGTCCTCACGTGTGCTGCGAACACCGAGTCTTTTGCATGATGTAGGAGCAGCACAACTTCGGCTCTTGAGAACCTCTCTCCTTTGCGCTAGTGGCGTTGTTCCCGAGCTTTCGTGAACTTTGTCCCCAGGTGGACGGCCGCCACGTGACCACGGGCGAGGTGGTCTTCCGGGACTCCTTCCCGCACGGTGTTGCGGGCATCGTGCAGGCAGACTACTGCGGAGACGGACGGGAAGAGCTCATCGTCTGCTCCGTCAACGGCGAAGGTAGACACGTTTTGTTACAGAATGTGTTTTGTCTGCCGAATTCCATGAGAGAACAATAACGAAGAAGTGTCACGGCGGGCACGATGACATGCGCCGCGCACGCGCCGTTGCGCGTAGAGTTACTAAATGAGGGAGGTAGAGTATCGCCTTTTCCTTTCACCACAAACTCCTACTTGTTAGCGGAGAAGGTGTCACTCGCGCCAAATTTGCGTAAGCGTTTGGGGAAGTATCCTTCCGGAGTTCCTTTTTTCGGGCGAGACCAGCGGAATATACTTTTCGCTCTGGGTTCGCGAAATGTAGATTATGCACTGAAGTATCTGCATCACAAACAGGAAACGTCTTGAACCTTCAGGCATTGTGTGTGTCACGTAGACATGTGTATTCGCGTTCTTTTTGAAGACGCAATTACGCATATAAAATAATAAAATTATATACACAAATATAATATTAAAGGCCTCGTTGAACATTGCTACATTCATAAAGGATGTAGCAACGTTGCAATGATTGTTAAATTGAGTCCTTGCCAAACTCATAAAGTAGCGGCAGGTTCCTGTTTAATTCAAGAAAAATAAAGAATACTTCCAAGTGAAATATTGGATTTATTACATTGCTTCGCCATTCACTAGGCGGCAGTGTATTCTGCGAGCAACTCCTTTAACAAATGCTGTTGGATTGGTAATATGGTTTGGTATGGCATGACTGCTTATATTGATTGTAGTCAATAATAACTCGGCGCATAGACAACTTTTATTGCTGTAGCCCCGCGATGGGATCTTGAGCATTGATGCTGTTTAGAGAAGATGTGCCTCAGTGAATTCCCATGCTATAGTGTGACAGAGTAAAGTGAACATTTTGATACGACACAAAAAATGTGATCAAGTATAGCTGCTTCCGTGCAGATATCTTTAAATCGCGTGGTAGATGTGCGGTAAGCACGAGGGTGTATTCAAAACTCTCCCGCACAAACGTTTCGGTACCCATCAAGTATTTTGATTTTGGCTACCCAAGTCTGTCGTGCAGAATTGCATAGGCAGAGCTTTGAGTGGTTTAAAGGTGATTTCCCCACCATCCACTGTCGCTCGTGTATCCAACAGAGTCAGTGCACATGCACGCTCAATGTTTCCGTCATTTGGTTCGGGGTCGGGCGTCCGGCTCCAATTCTTTGTGATTAACTCTTGGGCGTGATTCGTTCACCTGCTGTATTCATTCAAACACACTTATTCACAACAAAATACTTTCTCCATACTGTGCGCCAAATATTGGCACCGGACACACTTTCAGACTACGAGAACCAAATCACTGCGCAATGCTTTTCTTCCGTGAAAATCACAAATGAGAAAGCCTTTGTTACTGGCACCACGGTCACAACTGAACTGACTCTACAAGTTCAAGCGTGCCCACAGGTGACTGGAGAGACAGCAGTGTCTTACGAAGAGTTCTGGGAAGACAGTGAGGCTAAGTTATAAGATAACGGGAGTGCGGACAGTTTTTTTAATCACCCTAGTACGTCAATCTTTGAACGGCCGAAATGTAACTTGAACAAGTCATCTTCCAGTGCGAGGCTATCTTCCAACCACGGCAGAGCTGAGGCAGCAAATTGTGGATGCCACTTTTGAACAAGACACTGTCCGCGAGCTCAGTCAAAAGAAGCAGGTAAGCCAATTTCAGTATAGTACTTTAAACTGAATTTACGATATTATGAATATTTCTTGGCCATATCTCTGTACCGATCACTTTAGTAATGAGCCTATTTGCACAAAGGCTAGTTAAGACGGACGATTCTATAATCAAACGTAGACGTAGCTTAGGCACTACCCTCATTGGCAATATTGTACAAGAAGAAACCGATGAGTCCAGGCTATCATCCTCCTGCCGTTGTAATCAAAATGAGCGTTGTGGATTGTTTCATGGAAAAAGAACTTGGACCCCCACCTGCTTACAGGAAGGATGCAGCTCCGGTTAGATACACGATTTTTGTTTTTGAAGACACCAGATGATATTAAAACAACACACACTAGAAAGTGAGAACTGATACCTTTGGAATAACTTTACCTACGGCGCGGACGTAAAATTGAGATTGTAATTTGATAATTAGCAAATTCATTAGTTAAAATAAACAAAGTAACTGAAATATTCGCTTCGGTTAGCGTGTATTGATTAAAACCGTCTTCAAAATATGACATCTCTCGGTGAAACCCGGTGGCACCATCGAGACACGTCGTCGGCGGTTGATTTACTTTCCGAAGTCTATATAAGTAAAAAAGGAACGCAAGGAGGAAAATAGTTATAGGTTCGAAATGCACCTTCCGAGGGCGAAGTAGTAGCAGTAATAAGTATTGTATGATTTGTCCCTTTTTTTCATTGCACAATGCAGATGCTTCAATTGGAAATGCGCAACTACGAAGGACAAGCGAAGACGGCGAGCGGTACCCCGAAGGGAACTACAGACCAGCGCTACGGAACCATCTCGGTGGGATTTGAAATTCAATTTAATCTGTTTTATTATTAGTAAGCCACCTAAACGTTATTGAAAAAGTGGATGAACCCCTGGCCCGTTGGCTAGTTTGGTCCCCTTAGAATAAGGCATCTGAGGCGCAAAGGCCGGCATTTTTGTTAAACACACTTACTCGCTCACGGCCAATTCAAAATAAAGCAAACTTTGAAACTCACTCACCGTCACCCTCGCGACCACACTCACCTTCAAGTGCTCACTCACAAAATCATGAACTTACCGAACTCATCAACATACAAAACTAAGCAACTTACGCCCCTCAACAAACTGATGAGCTCACCAAATGAACAAACTCACACCCATCACCGCACTCACAAATTGACGCCTTCACCAAACTCACAAGCTATCCTCCCTCATCGAACTCAATAATTCACTCACTCACCGATCTCACCCACTCAGAAATAGTTCTCGCCTTCACCGTAGTCGCGGCTCTGGCGCTCGTTCTGCACGCGAGGAGCGCGGCTTCTACAATCCCGCCACGGTCGCTGCCGTCTTCCGTCGCTCCTGCACCATCCGTCACGTCGCCAAGTGAAGAAATATTTTGTCGTTTTGTTGGTTTAGTTTCGACTCCTTCCGCGCTCTTGCCGAGCGCTCGAGGAAGGTGCGCGTTGTTGTGATGCAAGGGCGCATCATTGCATGTTTCGACATGAACTATTCTGGTTGTAGCACGATTCCCCCGGTGGCAGTTCCCCCGTCCCAAATGCCCCGTGCTATTTCCCCCGAGTGTCAAAATCCCCGTTGTCAAATTCCCCGTCTTGCCTCCCCCGAGCGCCAGCACCCCCGTATCCAATTCCCCCATTTTGTAACTTTTGTGTGCCTCTCTATCCAATGGCAATCAGTTGATCGAACGACGTTTCATCGACATCGTTTCATCAAAAGTTTGTTACACCAACAGCTCGGATTAGCTTCCTTTTGTAATAAGTCGCCTGTGTCTGTCGCCGCGAGGCGCGTGTGGACGGGTGGTCCGCCTGGATTAACATGGGTCCCTGTGATGCACGTGCGACGAAGCTAGTTTTTTCACGAAACATGGTGTCGATGAAACGAGTGTCGACGAAACGATACGGACACCCGGTGATCACCTCCGATGTTCTTTGAAACCAACGCACACTGTTATTCCGTGATCCTGTGTCAGTTCAGTGATTGACAATATTGCAAATTATGGGAGATTTATTAACATGTTAATGTATACAGTTTTGTTGAAGCAATGTCCACTACTTAGATACCGCAATATCGCTGCACCAGCCTCAGGAACTCTTGAACGTTGAGCTCTCCATTGGACAGACGCTGCTCGAGCTTCCTGATGGCTTCGTCCTTCATCTCCCACTTCTTTTGTCGCTTTCGGGCTTGGCCGCCGTTGGATACCTGGAGGAGGGTGACTCTGCTAGTGGCCTCGTCCCGCTTGATGTGCTCCACGAAAGTGTAGACATTGGGGTGCGCTTTCCCGATGGCGTTGTTAATTTTTCTGTAAATAAAAAGCACAAGGATTACAACTCCTGGTAAATATGTATTTTGATTTTTTTATAGCAAATTTATACCATACTGAAAAATGAACTGACCGGTGCCAGGCCTCCTTTAGGTTGTTTGTCCGGGCTCCGCTGTTTTGGTGGTGGTTCCACTGCTGGGTGTCGTAGTTTCCTAAGAGCTAAGTATCCTCGAAGTACAGGATAAGTTGTGGGACTCCAAGGGCTGGTGGTGCAGTTGCCTTCAAACCCCGCCAAGCAATACGTACGAACGCTGGCGGGACAAAGGCCAAACTGATTGTCTGGCGTACAAACATCGTTACCGAAGAATCTTCCTGGTAAGCCTTGGCAAGTCCGAGTTCTTGAACCTTCCTCCAGATTGCTTGAGCGAAGTGAAAATGGCAACCCTGGTGCCGGATTCCAGGAAAAACGAAAAGAAAAGCCTGGATAAGGGCCAGTTCAAAGTCCGTACGGACAATGCTGAGACAGAGGTGCACGAAGAGCGTCCAACGCCGTCTTGAAGTTCGTGAAGGCCGACACATATACTTCTCGAGACTTCCCAGGTAGAAGAAAGTAGGCGATGTTGAAGCTCAAACCCTCTTTGACGGCGCTTATTGTGACCAGTCACAATAAGTGGGTGAGCTTTTGTCCGGACAAAAGCTCACCCAAAAAATGGGTGAGCTTTTGTCCGGGATTCCGATGAGAATCCCGGACAAAAGCTCACCGGACAAAAGCTCACCGGACAGAAGCTCACCGGACAAAAGCTCACCGGACAAAAGCTCACCCATTTTTTCACAGACCCGGACAAAAGCTCACCCATATTTTCACAGACCCGGACAAAAGCTCACCACGAGAAAATTTCATGTCGGTCTTAACACGAGTGCGGAAACTTAGGTGCATGCGTGCGACACAAAAAGGTAACGATAAATTAAATCTGACAGGCGCATGGTTTGTTGATTTTAGTAGAAACAAGTTTATTTATCGATTGGTTAGAGGCGAATGCAGTCCCCCACTAGCTCCAGCAGTCTTGGTAGATCTCGATGTACATGCAAGCCCTCGCAAATATTTCTAAGACGATTCTGCAGGTGCAGAGTAATTTTTCGCACCAGCTTTACGGTGGGCTCACCTCTCCGGGCTTTTGCCAATGCCATGGCAACGAGCGCCTGATTTTGCTGTAGGCATTCAATCAGCTTCAAGACGCTTGGATGGGCGTGGCCGACGAGCTTCTGGAACCCGGTACTCCTTTCGCAGGTGTTGCTCATCCGGTCTTTATCTTGAAGAGTGGTGTCGTACATATTCCACCGTACCGGGGGAAACTCCGGTCGCCGTCGGCGCAGAGTCAGGCGAAGGGAAGAATTCGCTCTGGCTGCCGCCGCAGATGGAACAGAAGCATAACGGAAGCGGCCGTTGAAATACGTGCAATCAAAATAGTTCAGCAGGTAACAATGTCACCGGTAGACTTTTCCCTGGTGGTTAGTTCTTGTGGAACAAGCTGTGGTGGAAGGAACCCGAGCCTATCTAAAATCCCGCACAATTTTTTAAATTGGTCATCTGTCTTGTACTTTTCCAAAAGGCCGAACTCCCGTTCTTTCAAAGTATTTTTAAAAAATTCGCAACTCACTGGTGGATGAGGTACAAGTTCTCCTAAAAATGGTCCAATGTCCACTGCGTCCGCACTTTATTTCAGCCCGTGTTTCGCCCGGGTAGGAAAAAAAAAAGAAATCGAGGTGAGCTTTTGCCCGGGTCTGTCAAAAAACGGGTGAGCTTTTGTCCGGTGAGCTTCTGTCCGGTGAGCTTTTGTCCGGTGAGCTTTTGTCCGGTTACCCATCGATGAACACTTCAACCATTTCCGAAAAATGAAAAAGCAGCTCCTGCGTGCAAAAGCAAAGAACACGGCCTGCACTTATGCTGACGTCGAACAGCAGGAAGTCTCGCTTGTCGAGTGTCTCCGTGTGTAGTCTTCCAAGGTTAATCTCGGCCATGTCCCTTGGTAGGCTCGGTTGCTGCTTTCTCTTCTCCCTGTACATGGTGCTCCTCACGCTCTCAAAAGTCGGCAGCTCAGCCATCACCGTGTCGTCAACCTAGAACAAATTGGTCCCGTCACAAACAAGGTTCAATCGCGGACACCATGAATACGTATACGCGTGTAATAAAACATAGTATGTAAAGACGAGACAATGTTTTTGCTTACTTGACCCACAAGATTTAAGATCTCTCTGCTGTACACTTCCGGTGCTGGCAAATGCGGCTCCAACCTAACCCTTTGCTTCAGTGCATTCTTCAGTCGCGCTTCCCGAAGTTGGCTGCTATCAGGTGGATGGTTGTGCTCTGAAACACATAGACGTGATGATAATGAAACGCCGCAGCATATTTTAGCCTCATTCATTCAGTGCCCTTCTCAAGCTGAACAGCAATACGAGAGTTTGCGAAAGTAAAAAAAACAAAGTCATTAGCTCACCTTGTGTTGTCTTGACGACTTTTCTGTGCTTCGTGAGAACTGCTGCTCTGCAGTTATTTGTCCAGTATTTAGCACATCTCCAGGCAGTTTTCTCATCTTGGTTCTTCCGCTGAAAGCAATACTTAAATCCGTCTAGTACTAAGGCCTCCTTCCCTTTTTCCGTCTTTAAAAATTCGACCTCCATCTCCTGCATCTCAACCTCGTCTGGGAAGCATCCAATGTTGAAAGTTCCTTAAATAGAACTCACCTGGTCGCGTTCGAGGTTTCTTTGTTCTTGTTGACCCTCGGTATGCAGTTTTTCTTTCGTCCCGTAACGAGAATCGGGGGCAGAGGACGGGGGGAACTGATAAGGGGATGGGGGCACGGGGTTTTTGGAACCCGGGGGAATGAGGTCGGGGGAGATAACGCGGGGAATTTGCAGCGGGGATATCGACACGGGGGAATCGGGATTGGGTTATTTCGTGCACCACCCAATATTCTATATGGTCCTTCTACCCTTGCGAATTCGCGGCCGGATCCAAGCCAGCGGCGGGCGGGTTTCGGAGCCGGGTGGCGAAATCCGTTCGTCACTGGCGAAAAGTCTCATTGGTCCGGGACCCATATTCAAATTTTCCGCTAGCGACGAGTCGATATAGCCACCCGGATCCAATATCCCCTCGCCGCCCAAGCGGATCCGCCCGCAAAAATACAATTGTAAACACACCATTATACGGTGTGCGCTCTTCGTTTCAACATTCGCGACAACGTCGTGCAAGTATGAAGTGAGAAACCACAGCCTCGTTTCTATAGGTGTGAATTCTTTTTATTTAAATATGCACCGCCATGGGTGTGTATTTTGTGTCTGCACAAACTGATATTGCGAACGCCTTGGGGGGTACTTCGGCTTTTTCTTCATAGTGCCCGATTTGCCTGGAATTGTGATAAAGAAACTACAAAAACGTCGCTGAAATTTTAACCTAAATATTGCTCCAAAATAAACTTTGTTTATAAAGGTACTGAATTTACAATTTTAGTCCTCACCGCGCTTTGTAAAATGTTACTCACTAATTGTTACTCATAAGCTACTCACTATTTGTATATGTCATATGTTACTCACTATTTGGCCATTACAAGTTAGTTCAAGATACCACAGGCGATTAAAGAGAGTTAAAATAAATAAAATATAGAATTGTTATTAAGATTGCCGTGAAATTTTGCCACATTTAGAGAAAGCTCTGTTTCTGCATTAATAACAGAACTAAAACAGCGGATAAGCATTCCCTTTTAAATCTTCGCAAGATACAATTAAATACGCTAATTTTGATACACTTGGGGACATTTTTTATAAAGTAGCTTGGTGGTACATAATTTGTGAATATGTCTCTAAAATTTGTTTACTTTAAGGGATTCATTGTTTTAAGGCATATAAAATTTTTATTGTAATTGTTAATATTATGTGCACGTGTTACAAACATTTCGTAAAATAAGTAGGAAAAAGTTTACCGCCTCCATGCTTGGGAAGGCTGTTGTTGACAGCTGTGGAAATTACCATAGTAAAAAAGCGTCAAAATTGCATATGTGTGGAAGCAAATTAGCTGCAGCATTCAAATATAACTGAATGTTCCTCCCAGAGCATATCTTTCACATGTATGTGTCGCGTTATTATAACAAAAATATTACCCGCACCGTTATTGTAAAGTCTAACGTGGAAACACCCTATTCTAGCTTGTGTCCTACCTCGGTATGTATGTGACGTCTCTAATGGAACCCTTTAAACCTTTCGGCGTAACTTGGTGTTTGAGAAAGAGCGGTAAATTTCCTACATATTTCCGGGATTAGTCATTTAGCGTTAATTTTCGAACGATCTTCAATGCCTGCCAATCTGCCTACTTGAAACCCTCGAAATATTGCTAAGCCTACAAAGACTGTTTGCATAAACCTTATTAAAGAGGTTAGCCTCAAGCCCGGTTGGATCTAAAGGGGCTAGAAGTACTTCGCGATGTTACTGGTAACGCGCTAGATTTTCTATAACTTGGTAACGCACCCATTACACTCCAGAATAACAACAAAAAAGTAATTTTGTTAGTATCTTACAACATTGTCTATCAAATTACGCAACTCGTTATTTCTTAATTTTGATTAAACCCGTCATGCTTTCCGTTCCTTTGAAGGTCCAACCCGCCATCGGTGCCTCGCTGTATTGTAGAGATGTGATCAATATATGAAATCCCACTGCAAACTTTTAGCCGCTGTCGTAGCTCGTCATTGCCGCACATCGCAGCCTGATACGGAAATCCAAACGCAATAGTGACATTCCTTAGACTTAAAAATAAGGATATTTCAATTTATTTACAGGACGGTAAATAATGCTAATGTAGTGACTGCGCAGTTGAGCTGGTGGATGTTAACCATTTTGTGCTTAGCCCGAGAATGAGGCAGGAAAAGAGGACAGTTTCACGATACTCGAAGGTCATCATGGAAGGAAAGGAGATGTGTTGTCAATGGACATCAAGGATCTTTATTACTCATTAGAGAGGAGTCGGCTGTTGGAAAGGGTAAAAGGGGGCTTGAAATTAACTTGGTAAGGTTGCAATCGCCATCAGGCATTTCGGTGGACAGTTTTCTTGCCATTCTTGATTATTACTTGCAGTCAAAGATAGTAGAGTATGAAGGGAAAAAGTATTTACAGAAAGAGGGAGTATGCATTGGGTCGAGTGTAGCACCGGCGTTAGCGGAAATTTACCTAAATTCTTTGGATTGTATTCTATCTGATAGGTTGCAGAAGCTGGCGTCGGGGTCCTGTTTTGTGAAAAGATATGTCGATGACATTTTGATCTGTTCTTTTCGGGAGGGATTGTCTGACACTCTGGAAGCATTGATTAGATCGGCAACCCCGGAACTGAGGTTTACGGTCGAACGACCCATGAATGGTAAAGGGCAGTTTTTATAACTTATGACTCAGAATGAAAAAGGGCTATGTTGGGATTATGGAAAAGGAAACGCAAAACCGCTGCTGTCAAAAAAGAGTTGCCATTAAAAAACATTGAAAGCGGGTGTAGTGAAGTCTTTAATCACAAATGCCATGGAGAGATCATGTACACATTTCTTGGCTGAATCAGTAGAAAGACAGTGGAGAAGGCTCAACAGTGCTGGTTATGAGGATGAATTCGTAGGGAAGCAGTTATCCGCAAAAATTGCAGACAAATGTACAGGAGAACCAAAGCAAAGGCCAAAATATAGAACTATTGTAATTCCGTTTTATCGCAAAATTTCTCACAACTTAAAGGCTTGTGCAAAAAGTTCGATGTAGATCCGGTTTTTAGTTGGGATTACAAGTTGAGTAAGTTCACACCCTTCCATAAAAGTATAATACGCATCGAGAAAAGTCTATTCTGTGTGATAATGGAGTGGTATATGAGATCCCCCTGGAATGTGGCTTTAAATATGTGGGGCAGACGCCAAGGTGTATAAATGACAGATTGACTGAACACAAAAGAAATGTCAAAAACAAGTGGCGAATTCGGAAATAGCGAAACATGTTAAAGAATGTAATAAGTGTATACCACGCTGGTCCGAAACAGGGATAATACACAGGGAGTTAAACATCAAAAGGGTTGTAAAAGAATCAATAAGAATAAAATCAAAGGGTAACTGCAATAGTCAGGTGTCGTTACAGCTTAGCAGCAGTGCAAAAACATTCTTGCGGATTTGAGATTTTGTAAAGTGGTTGTTGAATGTGAAAGGGTGTAAGTGGTTTCCTCCTTTGTGTCTTATGGTGGAGATCAGGTGGATTGCTATCTTTTGTTGCCGGGATGCTTTGTGTTTGTGGGCCGGAGAGTAGAGGGGAAGGGTTAGGGTGTGTTGCTTTGTGGAAAACGTCAAGGTCGTTTGACAATTGTGGTGGAAAGAGATGAGACCTTTGTTATCTTTTGGCTTTAGTGGTGGAGAAGGTTCTGTGGTCAAGTTCGTGGAGTGTATATGAGAGCGTGACCAAATAAACTTGTCTTTTGCTGTGTTAGAGACGTGCCTCGACTGTTCATTTTTCTTCTATTTTGAAATTTTCCTCTGTTCCTGCCTGAGTCTCGGGCTAAGAACAAAATGGTTAACGGTAATTAATGCCAGTAAAAAATAAACGCGTTAATATTTGAATAACTAACGAGTACTGCTACTTCGGTATGAAATTTTTGGTATCAGGCAGCTGCCTTAATAAGTTGCGATATTCGTGTTTTTGCAACTTACAGGCAGGCACGCAGTTGAAAACACTGCTTGCCATCAATTCTGGAACGGCTGACATCTCGGTAAGCAAGATATACCTAGGCATTGCTTAGAAATATGTGTCAGCTTTGCGTTGGTTCTTTTTCCCCAGCCTCACGTGGAGGTAGCACTCAAGACGAACAACGAAACCGTCATACATGCCGTCATGCTGTTTGCGGAAGGAATCTTTAGCGGCGAAAGCTTTGTCCAGTAAGTCGCTCTTGATCCAGCAGCGCAGCTTAAGAAGCTCGCCCCAGTGTTGCCAATTTAGGGGACTTGCCGCTACATTTAGAAGTTATAAGTGTTGTCCAGCGAGATAATTTGGCGTTTTTTGGGCGACGGGATAGTTAGCGGTTGTTCGGTCATGAGGACGGTCCCTTGGATGTCTAACATTATAAAAAAAAAAATGTATCAATCCCAGAATATATTAATTCCGTGGCCATGGGAATTTTTTTTTTATGGAAAATTGTTGTTAGTGGGAGAAACGCTTGCGACCTCATCTAGGCATTATGATAGAAAATATTCGCATATGCTTTCTAGTGATCCTGAAAGTAGAAATGCTTTTTCTACGTCAGCCGAACGAAACGGGCCCAGTAAAGTATATGCAGCAGAATTTAAAGAAAAAAGTTGGGGAGGCGGGTAAGTGCGTGCTATACAGTTATAATTTTATAAACTGCGAGACTGCTTACCCTATTTACTCGCGTATAGGTCGACCTGTTTTTCAAAAATCGCCTCATCAAAACTGGGGGGTCGACCAATACGCGAATCCCGGTATTATATTTTTCAACTTTTTTTTTTTTTTCGGGGGTCCCGAAGTTAGGGGGTCGACCTATACGACGTATCGACCAATATGCGAGTAAATACGGTATTTGCAAATTGTAAACAGCCGCTTCCTCTCTGCCCGCTCTTTCTCTTTATTCAGAGCGAACAATGTAGTCGCGTGTTCCTCGCGCAGTGTCCTGAGTTCGAACGCCGCACACCGACGTTCGGCATTCGAAAGCGTTCGAACAATATTCACTTCGAAATCAGCTCGGTGCTTTTACGCCCCCGCGCGAGCCCTCATGTCCTCCTCTCCCTCAGTTTCTCACCGTATTCGCGACTCCAGCAAAATGGACGCCACCAAGCGGGCAGACCGGGAACCAGCCGGTCCAGGTCGCTCCGCGCCCCTCCGCGCGTCTCTGGTGGCTTTCGCGGACACGTGTTGTCGGCGCCATGGCGAACAGTGTAATTTCACGAAGGTCCGAAAATTTCTTAAGTTTGCCTGAGTGTTCATTAGTGCGGTGAAGCCTCAGTAGATTGTTTCCTTCCACCACGTGTTTTCGATTTCTTGGATGAAGAGGAATCGCGGAAAAACGTTCTGATTTCTTGTCTGTCTCGAATCACATTCAAAGTGACGACTGCTTGGTAACTGATAAGGGGTTTCGTTATAAGGATGTAGAACAGTGGGAGGACGACAGACGAGGCATTTCACTGGAGGGAACACCAATGCCACCTCCTTCAAGTGAATGGGAAAATTCGATAGCTGCTTTTCTTGAGTTTGGTTGTGTTCGGTTAGCTTCAAGTTTGAGCCACCCACGCCGGTCGGTGCGTTGGCTAGTCATCTTGGCTGCTTTTGGCCGAAAAATCCGCTGGACCACTCTGAAGGAGTTGGGTTGATTTCGCAATTATTTGATTCAGGAAAACCTGCTCGCTGCAAATGATGAATGAGGGAAATTATCTGTTTTTCAAAAGGTGGGGGACGCGTCTCGCAACGTTAGAAGCTGTCACGGCATTATGATCTATCGCGCCTCCAATATTTATATTATACCCCCGTCGAATTAAGCCAGCAGCAATATACGTCTACATTGCTCAGGTTGGGGCGGCGGAGAAAAGCTCACCGGATAAAAGCTCACCGGAGAAAAGCTCACCGGCGAAAAGCTCACCGAAAAACCGGCAGATGCGGAGAAAAGCTCACCGATTTTTTTTTTAACTTAGAGGATTTTGCGGCAAACGTGGCAATTTAAAACAATTCGCATTCGTCACTTCATTAGAAATATTTCCTCGTTTGTTTTCGTAATATTCTTGAAGTTCATTGTGCATATTTAACAATTCCTCAGAAATTCGTAATCACCCATTTTGTATATTAAATAAGCCGCATGGGTATAATATCAGAACATCGTACACCGGTAAAAAGAGACAACGCTTTATTGACAGTTGACAGTGCGCCGTCAGTAGCTCTGTCAGATATATAAAGAGGTTTCTCCTTTGCGAGCTAATATGAATAGCGGTGTGGGAACCATTTCAGCTCTAAATATTATGTAGTGCCTAATAGAGAAGTAGGTGTTTGTTGATGTAATCAGCTGTCGGCTACGCTGTTTTCTTTCTGTTAATTTCACTAACCAAACTTTAGTTGCGAGAACAGCGTCGTCCTGTCGTGTTTGTTGTCTTCACTCCGTAGTCGTCGTTTGAGCGGTTTTTATCAGGCATGACCTTTACCATCTCGCCCTATTCGCTACCTTACAGAGGACCACTTCTTATATAGGTCACGAGTAACAACGGTGCCAGTGTGCGGCTCGGAAGGTCATGGGTGGCTCGCTATAGAAGGGCACTATCACACAAAGGCAACTTATGGAAACACCAGCACTAACGGCTAGAAAACGTGCATGTCCGTGGAAGAAAGCAGCCTTGATATCCTACTGACTGTTTTATCCTGTTTTCAAAGGTTAACAAAAGCTTCAAAGATAATTTCAGGCACCGCGTTGTTGCGGTGCCTGAACTTATCTTTTTCGTCTAAATGTCGGATTTTCGGCATTTACAGTTTGAATTTTTAGGTTTTAGGCAGACATATATTATTACGTTTTCGAACTTTTTCCTGTTCTTCAAGTTCACAAAGTTTTCAAGGCTTTCGTTGCGTAGAAAGTAAGTCACAGAAAACACTCACCCGCAATTATTGACTTGGGAACAATAAACCCGACACCGTAAGCTTAACAAATATTACGAAAAAGACATTTTCGTGTTTTTTACAAAGCCGGCGATTTTTAATGATAATAAACTGACATATGTTACGAGTGATTTAGCAGCCTATATATAAAAATAAGAAGAAAAAATCGGTGAACTTTTCTCCGCATTCGCTCAATGGCCGGTGAGCCGCATCCGCCGGTTTTGCGGTGAGCTTTTCTCCGGTGAGCTTATCTCCGGTGAGCTTTTCTCCGGGATTCCTCAGGTTGACCGGCCACCAACAATGCTCATTTTCTCCGTTCAGGATTCGAAGTCAAGTGCAATGCAGAGAGGTTCTGTGTGAATCTCTAATGAAGAATCTCTTCAGTTCGTCCGCATTCGTCTCCGTGCTACCGGCTAGAACCACTTCGCTACTTTTATTCAGCAGTTCACCTAATAGCTAATTAACTAAGCTCATATTTCAAACCGAAGAATATACTAATTTCGCTTTAGTGGGACATAGTAATATAATACATAACCCGCTCATCAAAATGACTTTTCGATTGCTACTAAAACCTGATTTGAAATACGAGTATCAGCTGCTTAGTGGGGCGCCGGCGGGTTAACATGCTCCTTGGCTCAAGAAGCGCTTGCTTAATTTTCGTAATTTTCCTGCAGCCTGTGTTGTTGACCGAGCACACGACGGAAGCTGTTTCTTAAACGCGGATACGGACAAAAGCCCGATTTCGCGGACAGATAAGTCGCATGGTCGAGGCATGCGAGTTGGCTGAAAATTACTGTGGGTGGGAGAATTCTGCAGTCATTGCAGCTTTCCTTAGATGATCAAAACTGATTAGTATATTACCGTTTCTCCAGAGCCCATAGTTTCGGTTTCGAACGAAATCTCCTGAACGAAAGTTTGACATGAAAAGAACAAAAAACACAGTTGGAAAACAAAACTTTGCTCTGCAAGTTTATGTGCACCGGCTACACTTAACCGTCTCAGTTCAAATACCTTTAAAATTGGGCATTAAACAAAAGAAAATCTGTTAAATTGAACACGCCACCTGTTCAGGCGGCCCGGCCGATCCGACGCGACCTGGACTCAGCCGCTATGTTTGTTCGGTGGTGGCGCCCCCTATAGGTCGCTGGAGTCCCGAATACATGCAAGCGCGCTGTTTACAAAGGGGCCCGCGTTGGCCCACACCACGAGGTGTGGGCTCTGCGCGTGCGCAGAAACCGTGGATTCGAGTGAGGTAAAGTGTCTGCACGCGCGCTCTACCGATACCAGCGCCACCGCGGCGACGCAACGTCAAAGTTGTGCGTTGGTTTATACGACCTTAAATGTCGAGTTCTAAGCTAGGCAACGTGTTCTCACGTACACTTATTTTACCCTTTTTTTTTTATCCACCTCTTATTTGTTTCGCGGCAGCCACCCGAAGGACGACGCAGTGACGTCCGAAGCAAGCATTCCGCTGTTTCCGACCAAGGATCAGGCCGTCGATCTTCACCTCAAAGTCTTCGTCGGGCAGAAAAACAGGTGTGCACCAATCCCCTGCCTTTCTTAAAGTTTTCTCGTGTGATATTTCTGTGGGGAGCTTGTCAAGCTTTCTTGGATATGTATATATTTGTGTGCTTCAGCGAAGACTGAATAAAAAAAAGACCTATACTCGGCGACCACTTTTCTTGGCAATGCAGTGGAAGATACGTCCCGCGTTCCCTTTCCCATTTTGAGTGTACGCAGGCTCTCCTCCTCTCCCCGGGAATGGGGGAGGAGGAAAGCCTATGTACACTCAAAATGGGAGAGGGGACGCGGGACGTACCTTCCACTGCATTGCCAAGAAAAGTTGTCGCCGAGTATAATATTAGTGTATTTAGCCAGTGCAGTATAAGCGCTAGTCTGGGGTCTTTAATTTGCACCAGGGAGTACTGTTACACAACTGCACGCCGGTACGATGGTTATCCAGATTGAAACGGGCAGGAGTGTGGATCGAACTCAGGATGCCTGGGTTCTGCTGCGCGAACTTTGGCGCGGTAAAAACGCCAGTCGGAGGCGCGTTGCAGGTGACAGTTTTCCCGGACGTTCTGTAAAAACGCCGGTACAATAAGACAGCGACATCGTGAGGAAAATATAGTGACACAATTCGCGGGTACAATAAGAGAGCGACCGTAAAAACCGTTCGGTCGTTCATTATTAAAATGCAGCTGCGAGCGTGTAGGTTTCATCACTTTGTCTGAACATGGACGTGGCGGCACTACTTCTCCGAGCCTCCGCGGATTACTCCTTGCGCGTAGAATGCCATTTTTGTTGCTCAAGGGCTGCCAATACAGGGCACAACAAAAGCAATGCACGGCCAAAAGAGCTAAAAAAAAAAACGCACACGCCAAAACAAAACGTCAACGGTCCGGTGCTCGCGTATGCTTTTAGTCAGGGCACAAACCACGCGAACAGCACGGCTTTCCTCCTCGCCGCTGTATCCCACCCTTTCTTATTTTCGGGATGTTGGGGACTGAAAACAGTGGAGAACTTGGCGGCAGCCAGCAGAGCGCGTGACTGGCTGTCTGGACCCAACTGATGAGCACGCTCCAAGCCTCTTTCCAAGGAGAGAAACGAAGGGTAGCATTTCTCGCGGCCCAAAAGATGACACCGAAATCGCTGCTGTTGCCACGCTGATTCGCGAGGATATGCGTTAGTGTGCAGCGCAAAGGGTTCTCACTCAGCGAAGTATGAGAAATCTGACCTCGTAACGTCCTGGTACTATTGTCTTCGGAGAGAGAGTACGTTCTCTAGGTACGTCGGCGGTTTCGGAGGCAGTCACCACAGCTTCCCTCGATCGCCGACCATGATCCACATACTGCTGTTTTCGAAGCGGAGCGTTGTTAGAAGCGTGCGAGAAGGCTCTTTCCCTTTTAAGTAAGAGTAGCAGTAGTAGCAAATTTATTCCGAAAAAGGGTGGCACTTGGCCTGTTTGGGAAGGGGCTAAAGGGGTGTTACGAGTTAGGTGCGGCGCACTATGGAGGCTTCACAAGCGAAACTCCACAGTGCGAGCAAGGTCGTTTTTTGGTCCTGTACCGGAGTAACCCACCCCTCGTAGGAGGTCACACCTGGTGGTCGGTGCTTTTCTCTGACGTCTTTTAGTCCGTCACATTCCCAGATGAGATGTCTGATGGTCGGTGCTTGATCTGCGGAGCAGCTGCTGCAACGTGTGATTGGAGGTGGTGGGGGATCGCCTTCTTGATTGCACAGTTGGTTGTACCACCACCTTGCCACCATGTCTTCTGTGATAGCGAAGCCTGTTCGCGCTTTAACAACAAGCACTTGGGCCCCCCGAGGTAGACCTTTAGGCAATGGATTCTCGAGGGGTGGTACATGATCTTTCAACCGGTTTTTCCGAATTTGCTTCCGTCGTCGTCGTTCTTCCTCCGGGCTGTGGTCAAGCGATGGACGGTAGATCGGCACTCCCTGCGAGCGGCGAGAAGTGCAAGCCTCGCTCGCCAGGTCGTGCGCGGCCTCGTTGTCCGCTTGACCGGAGTGCCCAGGCACCCACTGGATTTTTACTGCGACGTCTTTTTGTGCTTTTATTATGTTGCAGCCGCTTTTTATGGCGTACTCCGTGGTTCCGACTCTGGGAGGACCGATTAAGGCGTGGATAGCTGTGGAACTGTCAGTGCAGATCGTGACCGTCTTGGTTTGCTCGTTCACAATTCGGTGGTCTGTGAAAATCCAATTTACACCGACTTGAAGCGCCCGGAGCTCCACTTCGGTGGTGGAGGGTGTCTCGTTTAGGTGGTAATTTTGTAGGCGATGATAGCCGTCTTCGGTTCTCGCCACAACGGCAGCGATCTGAGTGTTCGGATTCCAGGATGCGTCCGTAAAAAGCCGCATCTCCGTGGGGTCTGTTGAGGGTTCGTTGAGTGCGCGGGCGATAGTGGCGCGCTGCGGCCCATTGCGTTGGGCGTTGGTCTTCCGGCTGAGTGGTCTGCCGTCCGTGACGGGCAAGTCCATCCACGGCGGCACGTGCGGTGGAACCTCGTCTAAAATGGCAGCCATGGTAGGGTCGTCTGAGAGAAGGAGGCGCTGCCCCTGAAGAGTGAGGAGACGGCGGTCCTGGGTTCCCTCGCGGCAATCTTGTATAATGAACCGTAGGGGTGGAAGTCTTCCGTAGCGATATAGTTCTTCCACTCGGGTGTGGCGAGGCAAGCCGGTGATCACCCGAAGGGCGGCTCGGTAGAGGGTCTCCAGTTTTTCGACTTGGGTCTTTGTCAGTTGGAAGCACACAGCTCCGTACGTGGCCCGAGACACAAGGACTGCGTACACGAGAGTGCGCGCGATTTCGGAGGTGGCGCCTCCAAATTTAGTTGAAATTCGTTTAATGATGTGCACTATCTTTTTCCAAGTGGGCGTCAATTGCTTTAACCATTCGGCTGCACCACCACGCTCGAAGATGGGTATACCAAGGATGCGTATCCAGCCTGTGTCTGATCGCTTCAGGGACGCGCCTCCAATGGTGAGAGTAACCTTGGATTGTTCCGCCTCAGAGCCTCCCAGGAGAATGTATTGCGTCTTCTGCACAGATATCTCCATTCCTGTATCTTTCAAGTAGTCGTGCAGCGCCGCCAGCGCCGCCTGGAGTGCTGCGACTGCCGATTCGGTGTCCTCGTGATTGTCTGCTTCTGTCCAAATGGTAATGTCGTAGGCGTACAGCGTGAACCGTACGCCATGGATGAGTTCAAGCTTGCGGGCAACTCCGGTCATGACTACGTTGAAAAGGAGTGGGGACAGGATGGCCCCCTGTGGCACTCCAACGCAACTTGAGAACTGCTTCGGTTCACCGCGCCCGGAGCGGACTTCGAAGGTTCGGTTGCAGAGGAAGCTCTTAATAATATTCAGCATCCGCTTGCCCGGGTACGCCTCCTTTAGGTCTCGTATGACTGCTTCGTGGGTGACCGATTCGAAAGCTTTCTTTAGATCCACCGCAACAAGGATGCTAGGCACGGTCCGCCTGCGTCCCCGTTTGGTACTAAGGAGTCTTCTCAGAAGGTAGATGCTGTCTTGTGTGCTCAGGTTCGGACGGAAGCCAGTCTGGTGAGGATGGAAGAAGAAGGAAACCTCCTCTAAGTGATGGTTCAGACGGTTGAGGCATAGCCGCTCAAGAAGCTTACAGATCGTCGATGTGAGTGACACCGGACGAAGGTTTGGAACCTCGTTGGAGCGTTTACCGGCTTTAGGTATGGGGGCCACGACGGCGTGCTTCATCCAAGGCGGAAGTTGGCCGCTCACCCAGATCTCGTTGACGGTATCCAAAAGGGTGTCTTTCTCCTGTGCGGGGAGGTTCCGGAGCATGGTCCAGGTGATTCCATCTTTTCCTGGTGCGCTCTGGACCCGGACTTGCTCAAGAGCAGTGTGCAGTTCGGCTGGCGTGAATAGTGTCTCGAGCTCATTTGTTTCGTCCACCGGTTCGGGTTCGTAGATGGAGGCAGGGGGGTTGCGTGCAGGTTGCGGGAAGAAAATATTAGCGGCCTCCTCTTCAAACTCTTCGTGACTCATACCCTGGGTCAGCAACACCGTTTCGATAACTCCTCGCGTTTTTTTTTCTTGTCGCTGAGGACTTGGTAAGTGCCCCATAGCTTGCGGAGGCCGGTGTCTTTACCGAAGGACGCGCAGTGCTCCTCCCATCGCTGTCTACCGAGGTGTTTGGAATGGCGGCGAATCTGCGCTGTCTTGTGACGAACGCGAACTAAGTCTGCGTGGGTTTTGCCTTTCTGCAGATATTGGTCGTGTAGCTGCTCCCGAGTCGTCCAGTGGTTGAGGAGATGTTTATCGGGAGCTGGAGTTTCGGCATCCAACGCAATCGAGCGTGTTGCCGATTCTGATGCTTGGAGAATCTTTACAGGAAAGGAGGCCTCTTCCGACTCTTGGATAAATTCACGGTACTTATCCCAGTCCACATACTTCACTTTCTTCCTCCTCTCGGCCACTCGACCTTGAAGTTCAAGCCAAACGGGAAAGTGGTCGCTGCTCCAGGGGTCCCCGTTGCAGCGCCACTCTCGGATGGTCTCCTTCGTAGCCCAGGTCAAGTCCGGTGTCGTGTTTCGCTGTCCGGGATGGAGCCCTAATTTAGTAGGGTAGTCGAGATCATTTATAAGGAAGAGGTCCGCATCGTTCGCTTCTTCCTCGAGGTGCCGACCGCGCGGGGAAGTCCATCTGTAGCCCCATGATGTGTTGGCGGCGTTGAAGTCGCCGCCCACCACTATCTCGTCCAGTGGATATAGAGTGCGTAGTCTACTGAGCCATTGGTAGTTATCGCTTCGGTTTCTGCCGCTACCAGGACGGACGTAAGCGGAGGCTACAAGGAGCGCGCGGCCACGTGCGTGATAAATGCGCACGGCCACCACTTCCTGGTACTCTGTGCCGAAACTTGTGGTGTCTATCTGACAGTGATGAATGTCTTTTCGCACAAACACCGCTGCCTGGGCCACTATGGTGGGCGGACCTTCAGAAGGGTGGTGGAGAATACTAGGTTGGAAATATCCTTTATACCCGTTTATGCCAGGTGCGGTTCCTCGCGTTTCTTGGAGAAGAAGCGCGAGAGGTTTGTTCTTTAGCGTCCTTAAACGCTCACTTAATTCACTCGCGTTGGCCGCGAGGCTACGGCAGTTCCATTGGAGGAGCACCGATTTACTTGGCGCGGCCATGATGGCTCTGTTGGGGAGTTACCGAGGAGGCCGTTTCTGGTTGTTTGAAGTGTTCCGCGAGGAGACGCGGCAGCTGGTTGCGGAGCGTTTGGACAATACTTTCTTGTATTTGTGATAGCGTGATGGCTTCCGCCGGCTCGGGTGTAGGTGTTTCGGTACGCCTGAGTGGGGCAGGTCACTGGGATAAACGCCGCTCGCGGTGCGTCAGCGTACGCCTACGCCCAGAAGTAAAGTGAACACGACGAGCGAACGAGCGGGGCGAAAGAGCACGGTTGGAACCGCATCGAGGCCTCCGGAATCAAGTCCAGTCCAGTACAAACAAAAGATGGCTGCGAGCATCTGGGCAAAAACGCTGAGGCACTTGAAAACGTCTAGAAGCAGTCTGGAACCGGAGGAAAACCTCCACTTTCGGTAGAGCGAATGCTGTGCTCAGCATTTGCTGTGTCCTGTTTTGAGTACTCCTTCATTTTCGCTTCGCGAGCAGCGTGAAATGTCTCGCCCGTGTCTTTTCTAGCAAACACTTCCACGTGTTCGAAGTGTCCCGCCAGCTGCCCAAGTTCGCCATGTACCTGCTGGTGGACGAAGCGCGCACTAAGACGCCGACAGGCAGCGTTCGCTTCAAGCTGGCTGAACGACCGCAGCGGGTGAGTGCTTTCTTCACGAGCGCGTGGTCGAAAGCTTGCCCACACAGGACACGTTTTCTGCAGTGACCAGTATGTGCTGGATAAAAGTTTAGGCATTCTTTGTGCTTCCCCTCCGCTTAAAAACTTTTTTTTTTGAGGGGAAATCACTTTTTGCTAGAGTCGTTGTACACGGCCTTGCTGCGCGTTAATGAAGTAGGGTAGGACGTGGCCAATCACAAACTCTGCTGGCTGTTGTCAAGGTCAAGCGCGGAGGCAAGGGAGGAAGCCTTGCTTTCTGCGTAATTGATGTTCTCGGGCAAAACGCATGCGTGTACAAAGCAACGTTCACGTTTTTCGTTTCTTTTTTTTTTTTTTTTTTTAAGCGTACACGCTTTTTTAAAAGCCTTGTCCAGTTTGAGCAGCCTTCCGCTTGGGGAGGAACGTGTGCGCGAACGCTCTGATGGGTCGCTTGTCGTGGGAGACCAAGGTAACGCTAACTTCTCTACCCTTAAACCCCGCTCACGCTGCGAGTACACCTAACAACAAACAGCTTGCAGATACTCTCTGAGGCGTTTTTTTGTTTTCGTGTATGTGTCACATAGGTCATACAAAAAACTGCCTGTAGACAAGCTCGAAACATACAAACTTATGAAGCAAGCATGCATGCTTCTGACGGGCTTGAGACGTGTCTCCTGTAGACACATCTCAAAAGACACGTCTCATAAGCATGTCGCCATGTCTCTAGCAAACACCGCGTCGTTTGTAGCTTGTGTGAGCAGTGTAACTGTAAATTTATGCCTCATTGGACCATCCCCAGTACTTCAGCTCTTCAAACAACCACCACTCCGACCCATCAGGCTCTCGAGCATGTCAATTGAAAAAAAGAACATTGAACCCTGAGAACTTTTAGCGCTCAAACCCTTGCAAAGATTTTCGAACGTTTAGTAAATATCGCTTAAAAATATTGCTTTGCGTTTGCAGCTTACTAACTACGCGTTAAACGTTTTTATGCGTTATTAAAGCAAAACTATCAAAGAAAAAACGGCAAACCCCCCTTTAAAAAAAAAAAGTTGCACTTATTTATGTATAAAAGGATCAAAGTTCAGGCGAGCTGGTGTATGTTGAACATGATGGTAAACCTGACCCTCGGTTAGGAAATCAGAAAACGCGAAGGAATACATAGAAAATAAATAGTAACGCGTCAAAATCAGCAGCAAAGTTTATCTGATACACGCCTTATATACCACGTCTCCAGCGCCGTCCCTTCATTCACCAGAAGCAATAATGTCCCGGGACCAAAGGACACTAAATTCTTGTACGAAAAAGAAATCACAGCTTTGAACAGGAACGGGGGTAAACCTTCTCTTATCTCCCCTAAACTCAGCTAAGAAACATTTAGGCAAATGGTCACAACTCAGCTTAACCCCGATCTTGCCAATAAGGATGCGACGGGTATACAAGGCTCCCTAGATATAAAAAAGGCATTGGATACGGGTCCACATTGGGCAGTCATTCAGAGCGCCAAAGAACCTGTTGCTTCAGAGGCAGAACGGTCTTTGTCATACAAAACTACATCATGAATGAAAAGTTTCAACTCAAGATTGAAGAGACAAGGGAACCGGAGACGCCCAGCAGCAAAGGAGTCCCGCAAGTTGCTGTAATATCACCAGCGACCTTCAATATCGTGATGGCTGGTCTCCTGGCCAGACTCCGGTGCGGTATAGTGGCCTGGGATTCACCATATATGCTGGCGATGACACACTATGGACGAAGAGAAGATCACGAGGAAACCAGGAGAAGACCATGGAACAAATGATTGATATTAGGGAGTTTTAGAATAGCGCACGCTAAAGCTTTGCGTACGCAAAGAATAGCGTCGTCGCCACTGCGCATGCTCCGAACGCAAACCAGGTTTTGCGCTTTGCGTGCGCAATTTTAGCGTGCGCTATTTCTGGGAAATAGCGTGCGTACGCAAAGATTCTTTGCGCTAATCTAAGGATGATTAGGGATGATAATTTGGCTAAAGCCAAGACGAGCAGAGTTAAAAAATGGCGGCTCCCAGAATTATATTGGCAGCTGCCTTGGCGGCGTCGTGAGTGCGACGTCAGCGGCATCCTCGCGACTGTGATTTTAAATACGGCACGACATATGACAACAATCCCCGGTAACTTGATGCATGCGGCGCGCTAACATTGATGCATGCGGCGAAGGTATACGATGCGCGAAGGTCAGTACACGAGACCTCTCTTGCCGAAGCGACGCAAGCGGTCACGACCGGTCAACCGCTCGCGTCACATTCTCATGTTTAAACAAAATAGTACTCTGAACCAAGAAACTTGTTTGTTTCTAAAGTTACAGCATTTCGTGTGTGAAATAAAAATTGTGACTGTATCTTGGTGGCGTCGCAAGCGCGAGCTGCTTGGGCTTTTGCGTCGCGACGGAGAAAGGCTGTTCTAAAACTCTCTTGCGTCGCGTGTGCTAGTACACGCGATAAATTTAGCGCTAGCGTGCGCTAAAATTGCTTACGTTATTCTAAAACTCCCTACTGTGATAGAGTACCTCAAAGAGGTCGGCATGCAAGCGTCGCTCAAAAAGACATAATTCATAGTCGTGGCCAGACCAAGGAACCATCGGAAAGGCAATGCGAACCAAGGGGAACTACCAATTGAGGGACAGAAAATATCAAAAGAGAAGCACATAAAGATGCTTGATGTAAGTTTAGAAGAAACAACCCTCAGTACGAATTGGATACAGGGACTGAAGAAATCGTAGAAGCAGACCCTAAAGCTTATACGAAAGATGAACAACAAATACTGGGGAGAGGAGGAAGAAACCATCCGAATATTGGTCAATGCCCTAGGAACGGCCAATCTTGCAATTGGCTCAACCCGAACAAGACGCAATCGACAGCAAATGGAAAGACGAAATCACCGTACCACGAGGCTCGTTATGCGACCTCCCAGTTTTGCGGCCCCAGACGACCTGAACAAGACGCAGAATGAGCCAAATCCAAGAGCTAGCGGCGGCGCAGAGCAGAGCGCACTTCCAAAGGTTCGAGAGGAGAAACCACGTCAGAAGGCTGCTCGAAAGCATGGGCTGCGAGGCAGAGAGGCTGACCCCAACTGGAAGACCAAGAGCCATTGTGGCAAGACAAAAGCATTGTCGACCATCGGCCCACGCTCAAAGCAGACAATCAAGAACGCAGAGCGCGGGCCGCAACAAAACACGCCTTATGGTGCGAGGAACACACACATGATGAAGGAATTCGATACAGAGATGCCACTAATGGTCTGTTCACACGATGCATCTTTTAGGCGCGCAGCAGTTTCACGACACTCAAGTTTTGCAAAATGTGCTCGTTCACAGGTACCGCTTCACGTGCAACAACAACACACACCGATGCACCGTTTTAAGTGAGCTCCGAATCAGGTCGCTATTTATCTGGGGACCTGCTTTGCGCATTTTATGCAGTCAATTCACTTTAATCTTTTTTCTCACATACTGCACTACTTGGAGCGATCTCGCGTGTGCGCCAAGCCGATTGAGGCGGCAAGCTGTACGTGCAAGACATGTGCCGGCGCCGAACCCGTACGCAGCCAATTCATTGCCAAAGCTCCTATGAATGCACATGGTATTCATAGAAACGCTACGTGCCCAGTCTGGTTACTTCTCGGCGCCCATGTCTGCCCCGAGTTTACTGTGCCAACTGTTTAATAGAGCGCACATGGTTTCATGTTCGCTTGTAAACAAAGCAAACAATTGGTTTCAGTTTACTCGATGGTCTTTTACCCAGCGGTATCGTCGCGACAACAACGCTATGAGCACTATTCTAATCTCGCCGACTCCCGCTAATTGTCTTTGTCCATCGCTGGATTTTTTTCCGATATGCTACTCACTTTTCCTTCAGTGCTGCTTGACGTGCTTGCGAAACCGCCGGCAGTATTCATCGTTCATTGTTTCGTTTTTTTTTTTTTTTTTTTTTTTTATTTGGCTCCGCTACAACACTGGCAGTGAAGTGGTCTTCTCAAACAGCTCGCTCCCCCCTCAAAGGCCACGTGAGAGCGTTTCCGAGCGGCCATTGGCGGCGGCCTCAGAGTGATTGACAGGACTCGGCAAAGTTTCAGCAAAAGCTCGCTCCAGAAGCGAGGTGTGCGCGCAACTTTTTTTAGATGCGCGCGTCCTTTTCGGACCCGTTCAGACGGCGCAACCATTTCGCGAAACTACATTTCGCGACACTAGATGCGCGAGAAAAATGCATCGTGTGAACGGGCCTTAAGAGCAAAAAGACTGTGGCCGTTGCTTGGGTCGACCAAAAGTTATACAGGGAAGGCACCACGATATTATCCGAAAACTCCTTCGTGTGCCAAGGAGCTCTGACACAAAGTCTTAAAGCCAGCATAGATACACGACACAACACGAAAGAGCCAAAGAGAGCCAGGATTTATACCGACTCTCAAGAGGCACTCCCAGTGTGTAGGGGCAGCAAACCCGAAAACAGAACTGCAAATATGATCAAAACGATCGCCAAAAAGCTACGAGCGAAGGGTCGTGCTGACAATTGAGTGGGTACCGGGACACAGAGATTCCCGAGAACGAGTGAGCTCACCGGGGCGCAGCCGAGGCAGCAAGTAATAACAGCTCTGCTACTGGCCCAGTCATTTGAGAGGACCATAAAGAGGCGGTAGACTCAATGGAAAATGGCCGAACTAGCCAGACAAGCTAGAAAAGACTACCTGAGGGGAATCGGGCCGACCGAGGACTACCCGCTACCCAGGGGTACGGAAGCCTTTGGGTTGCTTAAAGAAGAAAAGTCAATCTGCTAGACATGCAGCCAAAAAACCAAACAAAAAAGGCCGGCAAACATCAGGCACTTGCTTTGGCCGTGCAAAGGCTTAAACGAATACTGGAAGACGGCTTGGGAACAACTTGCCGCCAGCGACAATCTGACAACGCTAGAAACTTGGATCCACTCAGGCGGCGAGGAAGCACACCAAGATGCAATCCTGGATTCCCTGTTGGAGTTCATCAGAAAGTCCGGGACACATTCACTCATCTATTTGCGCCATAGTCATTCACTCCTCCTTACAACCCCGCACTCCTCCATCCGCTCGTCTCAGGCTACACCACCGGATGGACCCTCATCATCATAAACTATGCATGTTTTCAGCCAATGAATCAGGAATGTCATGCATGTAAAGTGAACAGGTTCGAAATAAAAATAATTCACAAAAGAACGTAACCTTATAAAACATACATTAAAAAAACATTCTTATGAAGACGTTCGTTAAACGTAGTCGTCATGCGTCGTTGCAGTTTGGGAACGAGTATAAACAATATCTGCGCCCATAATTGTGTGTGTGTTTTTAAAGGCATGTTGTAGGTTGTTACAATGTCGCGAATCAAAGTAGACAGGTTCGAAACGTAAGCAGTGGCTATGTTTGTCTCTTTGGAGTGTGCGGATTGTTAGAGAAAGCGCAGTTTTAGTATGTTTGGTTCCTTCACGTGATGCAAGGTCGTTTCTTTGTCTTCAGTTGTGAACCCTTTGCGTTCGGTGAAGGGAACGTCGTAGTGGCGTTGAGCTGTGACCATTTGTGTAAATGTTTCGTAGCCCAGATTAGGGGAGATAAGAGAAGGCGTACCTCCGTTTGTGTTAAAAGGTGTGATTTTTTTTTTCGTACTAGGATTTTGTGTTTTTTCTTTTTTTTTGTGGGACATCGTTGCGTCTAGTGACTATAGTGATGGTGTTGCATACATAATATATAAGGGGTGAAAAAACCTAATTTAAGCTGTGTTTGAGACGTTTCTTGTTCTTTTCTTTATTGCTTCGAGTGCTCCGTTGTTCCTACCAAGTCTCAAATGTACCATCATGTTCACCCATCCATGTTCTGGAACAAATGTTGCAGGCAGCCAGGAAACGCGAGATCTGATCTTGATACTTTTTCTAGCTTTTGCATGCAGCCCGGGTCGCGACGTTTTGAGGAGGAAGCAAGTTTTCACTTGTTTTTGCGTAAAAACGAAAAAAAAAAAATAACCGACCCGGGTGGCGTTTTTTGCCCACACTAGACCGGACGAGCGCCCGAAGTGCCACCTCCACGGCGTGAGGTTGGAAAGTTCAGTTGGTACACAGACCGCGGGCTACACATGTTCAGAAATTGAAATTTTACGCGGTGCGGACTATCTACAGGGTGCTTTTCCGAGCACTGTTCGGGCATTAAATGCCTGTGAAAATAAGCCAATAAACGGAGTGCAGTAAAACCTTTCACAAAAGTGTTTTATGTGCAGCAATATAATGATACGCCAATTTCGGGACAGAAGATTCATGTGGAAAAATAATGCAAAATTAGAAAAAAAGTAAAAAAAAAAAAAACTGCTATTGTTTTGTGTTTTCTTTTTCTTTTTTTTTTTGTTTGGGGGGGGGGGGGGGAGGAAAACAAAAAGAAGAAGCCGTCGGGTTTGCTTTTCATTTAGGCACCACCAGTGCTCAGATTTGCGCTTACGCAGACTGCCACATAACACTGATGTGAAACCTCGCAGTCCAGCTCAGTCGGGCAACGCTACACTCTGAAAACCAGGGACGCACTGTAAATCGTCTGCTTCGAGACCGCCGCTGGAAGAAGTCTTTGCAATGATTTTTATATATCTTTCATTCTAACGAGATCAGAAGCATCTTGCGAATGACAGCGGGTGTTATTGATGATTTATGTATGATGCGAGTTTCCTTGTAAGCTAATAAAGGAGGAATACGTCAAGGCGTGTTGTGTATATGAATATGCTCCACATCAGGTGCGGACTTCGTGTGCGGACTAAACAAAATAAAAGTATTTTCTTCATGTGAAATTTGCCGCTACGGACTATACACCAGGTATGACTATAGTCCGGAATATGCTGTAATCGTATTTAAAACGTGTTCGGATTACTTAGTCTTTAATTCACCAATAGATTGGTTGTCCGTGTTCTTTCTCCTTTCTTTTCGCTATAATTATTTTTCGAAATAACATAATTATTCCTTTAACGGATAATTACTTAATTGTAGACCTTAAGGTTCTCGGATGGCACCGAAACACCACTCGAGAAGAGGCTCTTGAGTTCGGTGTGCGGAATCGTCTCTGCAGGTAGCCTCGTGGGTGAACCAGAACTTCTTGCTACCCGAGGACCTCTGTCCCGACGATCGCTTTCATGTCACTTACGTCTCCTTGAGGGAACTCAAGCCCATCACAATTCGCGTGGAGCTCAACGGTGAGGTGAGCAACTTGGGGGGGGGGGGAGGGAGGGAGGGAGGGGGAGGAGGGGGGGTGGTCTGCATGCGGAGACTGCGGGCCGGGTTGCGTCACCGTAGAGCTCGCTACCGTCATACGTTGATTCACTCTTGGAGCCACGTGAACGTGTGCTCTAATCTACGTTGCCGTAAACGCGTCCCCAACTGGTGTGTTTAGCGTCCTGTCCCGCCCGTCCATCGAAAGTGGTCCCAGGGTGGCAGCGAATGACCTAACAGAAGCCGGAGTGTCATGCGGTTGCATGTCACGATTATGGTGCTAGAAGTACCGGTAAAAATCACCAGCGAACGCATGCGTAGCTCACACCGGGGAGTCCCAACTTCTGGCTGCCGAAGCTTTCGCGGACTGTCATGCCTGTGAGCGATCTGGAGCGGAACATGCATCTGCCCCATCCTCACCGCTGCTACGACGCCACCAGGATCGCGGTCGGCGACAGCATGACACTTCTATGGAGTCATCAGGAGGAAATCAGAGGACCTTTCTAGAACGAGCTGAAAACAACAGTGGGAGACGCGTTCCTGGCACCATCGCTTAATTGTTGTTTATTAAGGCAAGATGCGAAGTGCGATCATTTCAAGGAAGAAACCATGGCTAGTAATGTTTTTCTGGACGTTTTTTTATCACAGTTATGCGAAGAAAATGTGACTTCTTCGGGTCCCATTAAATGTGTATATATATATATATATATATATATATATATATATATATATTTATATATATATATATATATATATATATATATATATATATATATATATATATATATATATATATATATATATATATATATATATATGCAGGTTTTTTTTTCTTACACATTTGTTTAAAAAAAGCGTGAAAACTGCACTAATCCGGTTTGTGCAGGTGGGTTATACGGCCAGGCGGACATAATGTGGGTGGCTAATCTTTATGATAAGTTGGCTAATTAATAAAAAATCGTTAATTAACTGTGTAATTACTGAAAATCGACATATGGTTCCAATTACAAGCTTGTAGAGCATCATCGAAAACCACTAAATGAACAATTTTTGGAAGGATATAACGCCGGTGCTGCATTTTACGGCGTTCTGTAAAAACTCTCAATTCGGACGCGTTTCCAGGTTTCTGTTTCTCATCGGAGCGCATAACCGCGCCCTCGGTTCTGCTCCCCAGTGGCTGAGACGCGCAACGCATGCATGTGCGCCCTACTTCCTCCATTCTAAGAGGGAGGCGAGGGGTGGCTTCGGCGCCGCGACCACCGGAGAGCAGGACCGCGGGCGCAAATATTCCCTACGATAAGAAATCGAAATCTTGAAACGCGTCCAAATGAAGCGTTTTTACAGAACACCGTAAAATGCTACCCCTGCGTTATATCCTTCTAGATATAGTTGATTTAGTGGTTTTCGATAATGCTCAGCAAGGTTCCAATTGGAACTATATGTGTATTTTCACTAATTAAAAAGTTAATTAACGAAGTTTAATTAATTAGCCGACTTATCGCAAAGATTAGCCACCCACATAATGTCCGCCTGACCGTATAACTCACCTGCACAAACCGGATTAGTGTAGCTTTCACGTTTTTTTTAAACAAATGTGTAAGAATAAAAAAAAAAAACACCCTGAAGATATATATATATATATATATATATAAGTGAAAGATGCGTACTGTCGGAGTTACTAATTCGAAGTTTATTACGACGTTTCGAGCGGGGACCGCTCTTCATCAGGTAGCGAGTATACAGCTCGCGAATGTTTATATACCCCTAAGAAGAAATTAGAGGGAGTAAAGTGCCGTAGAAAATGGAAACAGCGTTGACAAAACAGATAGATTACACAGAAAGGAGAGGGCACCAAAACCTGACAATCGTCAAAAAAAAAACAAAAAAAATCGGTTTGCAAAAAAAGAGATTATTTACGCTCGCGCAAAAAAAAAAGGAAAAAAGAAAAAAAAAAGTTGTTGGTGGAGAGATTATTTCCTCTCACACAAAAAAAATAAAAAAATAAAAATAAAAAGTGTTTGCAAGTCTTGGGTTGGGAAGGGGTGGCTCGTCTTCAAACCAGAAATAGGGCACATGTGACCACCGACGCCCCCAAATCCCGTGACATTCCTTTGTGCTAGAGGTCGAAGTTAAACACTTTGGGGGATTTTTCCTTGGATAAGGAGTGGTAGGGATGTGACAGTCTATGCCTGCCTGAGATTAACCGCTTGAGCCGCATTTATCCGTTTTGGAGGTTCTCTTCGGACTTAAACGTATTAGGATGTGGTTTAACTATCGATTGTTAAGTTTAAAGATCTCCTAGTGTCTTCAGCGGGTGCATCTAGAGAAGCTCAAGGGCGGAGAGGATCAGCTCTCCAACGAGCCAGCTGCAAACTAAACAGCCTTCCCGGACTTTCATTAATGCCCTGGTTGAAGGTATTAAACTTATAAATAAAATATGATTCTTTTTGCTCTCTTTCAATTTTTGTGCTGAAGCCTGATTCCAAAATTACAACAGAAATGTGCTTGATTGAGTGATTAGAAAGAGACAGGTGCTTTGAGAGCGGAAGGTCGGGGAGTGTTTGTGCGTGACATTTGTGGTTGTTAAAGCGTAGTCTGAAAGCCAAATTAGTCTGTCCGACGTACTGTTTATTACAGACATTGCAGTGCAGGAGATAAATCACGTTTGACGTGCCGCAATCGTAGCTACCCCTTATGTTCCACATGAACTCTGAATTTGTGCTCGTGGCGTTCTTTGTTTCTAACATGTGCTTGCATACTTTACACCTGGGCTTTCGGCATGGTCGGCAACCTAGGCTTGCGGGAGTGGTAGTTTTTGATTTTACTAAGACGTCCCGGAGATTCCTGCCGCGTCGATAGACGACCCGAGGAGCGGCGGGAAAGATTTCTTTGAGGCGGTCGCTCTGTGACAGAAGATTGTAATTTTTGCTCAATATGTTGTTGATGTTTGGAAGATTGCCTGTATACGTTAAAATAAGGTTAGTCTAACCTTATTTTAACGTATACAGGCAATCTTCCAAACATCAACAACATATTGAGCAAAAATTACAATCTTCTGTCACAGAGCGACCGCCTCAAAGAAATCTTTCCCGCCGCTCCTCGGGTCGTCTATCGACGCGGCAGGAATCTCCGGGACGTCTTAGTAAAATCAAAAACTACCACTCCCGCAAGCCTAGGTTGCCGACCATGCCGAAAGCCCAGGTGTAAAGTATGCAAGCACATGTTAGAAACAAAGAACGCCACGAGCACAAATTCAGAGTTCATGTGGAACATAAGGGGTAGCTACGATTGCGGCACGTCAAACGTGATTTATCTCCTGCACTGCAATGTCTGTAATAAACAGTACGTCGGACAGACTAATTTGGCTTTCAGACTACGCTTTAACAACCACAAATGTCACGCACAAACACTCCCCGACCTTCCGCTCTCAAAGCACCTGTCTCTTTCTAATCACTCAATCAAGCACATTTCTGTTGTAATTTTGGAATCAGGCTTCAGCACAAAAATTGAAAGAGAGCAAAAAGAATCATATTTTATTTATAAGTTTAATACCTTCAACCAGGGCATTAATGAAAGTCCGGGAAGACTGTTTAGTTTGCAGCTGGCTCGTTGGAGAGCTGATCCTCTCCGCCCTTGAGCTTCTCTAGATGCACCCGCTGAAGACACTAGGAGATCTTTAAACTTAACAATCGATAGTTAAACCACATCCTAATACGTTTAAGTCCGAAGAGAACCTCCAAAACGGATAAATGCGGCTCAAGCGGTTAATCTCAGGCAGGCATAGACTGTCACATCCCTACCACTCCTTATCCAAGGAAAAATCCCCCAAAGTGTTTAACTTCGACCTCTAGCACAAAGGAATGTCACGGGATTTGGGGGCGTCGGTGGTCACATGTGCCCTATTTCTGGTTTGAAGACGAGCCACCCCTTCCCAACCCAAGACTTGCAAACACTTTTTATTTTTATTTTTTTATTTTTTTGTGTGAGAGGAAATAATCTCTCCACCAACAACTTTTTTTTTTTCTTTTTTCTTTTTTTTTTTTTTTTTTTGCGCGAGCGTAAATAATCTCTTTTTTTGCAAACCGATTTTTTTTGTTTTTTTTTGGACGATTGTCAGGTTTTGGTGCCCTCTCCTTTCTGTGTAATCTATCTGTTTTGTCAACGCTGTTTCCATTTTCTACGGCACTTTACTCCCTCTAATTTCTTCTTAGGGGTATATAAACATTCGCGAGCTGTATACTCGCTACCTGATGAAGAGCGGTCCCCGCTCGAAACGTCGTAATAAACTTCGAATTAGTAACTCCGACAGTACGCATCTTTCACTTATTAACTTTTCCCGGTCCATTGTTTTCATATTTACCTTACTTTACCTATATATATCTATATATATATATATATATATATATGTATATATATATATATATATATATATATATATATTTATAGCCCATACTTGTACATCAAACGTGACCCATTCACACGTGTAATCGGATCATCGTAGGTGTTTTAAATTAAAAAAAACAGAGAGATCTGCTCAAGCATGTCGCTCGCGGCTGCTGATAAATCCCCTACGAAAATAGAAAGCGAGAAATCCAGCCCAAGAGCACACGTAATATCTGTTTTCTTCCGGATCGTAGCGGGCGTGTTCCTATTGAAAAAACAAAACAAAAATACTTAGTTGTGAAAAAGGAAAAAGAAATAGCCGGAAGAAAGCCAATGATGTTTCTTCACGAAACCAGCCCTATGCCGGTTTGCAGTTGAATGCAGGTATCTCTCACGACGGTTTGAATAGCCTAAAGAAGGATTGTTAGTTCACTTGACCGGCTCTCTCTACTCTTGATGTGCGCGAATGTGATTCAGCTCAACTACATGATAAGCCTGTTCACATTCTGACTGCGCGCTAAATTCGAATTTTTGACCCGAGCGTCTTTCTCGAACCGTTGTAGCGTACAGGTCCCGTCAAAGTAAAAC